TCATCATCATCATCATCATCATCATCATCATCATCATCATCGCCGTCATCATCATCATCGCCGTCATCATCGCCGTCATCATCGCCGTCATCCCCGCCGTCATCATCGCCGTCATCATCATCATCGTCATCATCATCATCATCATCATCATCATCATCATCATATTCATGTTCATGTTCATGTTCATGTTCATTCATTCATTCATCCTTCATCGCCCATCGTTCATCGTCCATCGTCCATGTGTACTCCAAGGTTTGTGGTGCAAATCCGCCTGCCTTCCTCCATTGCTTCTGCCAACTTGGCAAAGACCTTAGACTCTCGTTGGCTGATGTTTGTGGCTACCACACCGGGAAGCTGCTGTTTTGGCTAGCAACCTCGATACAGCACAAGGTTACTTGTACGGTGTTTGTTGAGACCGGAGTCTCATGACAGGGTCCGTTTTGGATGGCTTGTGCTATGTAGTCCGCAAGGTCACAGTCGTACTTCTGGTGCATACTAAGGCCAGTCAGGGTGGGAACATCCGCTTTGACGATGAGTCCAAGGTGGACGATGATGCTTTCGTGTCATGTGTGGAGTAAGCCAGTGCTACATAGACCAAAGCAATCCATGGGAAACGTCAAGAGATGTCAAGAGCAAAATGTTGTTTGGCTGGCATTAGCACAAGCATCAGTACCGTGGCTTTCCTTCCCTTGGAGGAGAGGAACACAAAGTTTCAAAGGTACGGCACTATCAAGTACCATCCAAACTCACTGTCAAAATGAAAATAGTAACCAACCTGCAGGTTCAAAGAAATCCGCATGCACATTGTGATTCACATCTTCTTTCGCTGTCGCTCAGTGTGTAGGTGATTATTTGGAACCTTGGCAAGCTCGCCAGCCAGGCAGCTGACCCAACAGTGAACACCGCGTGAAATCCTGTGAACTGAATGCAATTGATTTTTGTAAAAGGTAGACTTCTGAGGCACCTGTTTGCTTCCTGATTAATTCGGCATGCAGCACCCACTGCTCATCATGGAGACATTTCCTGTCATTCTATAGCTTCATTCTTGCAATGAACAACAACTCCGTATTTAGCATTTTTTCCATATCATTGAGCTGTCAATCCGTAGCAGAGTTCCTTCTGACACGGCAAACGATCAGATGATCAGTCATTCAATCCACAGTTGTTTTTTCATGTCGCGCGGCCAACGAGTCCAGGACAGCAAGGCAGAGGGCACTTTGAATTATGCCACAGACCCAAAGGCTGATCCTGGATTTGCCAATTTGAACTGAACTGATGTCAATTGAGATGGTCACGGTCGTGGACGGTCCGATCATCCGAGTCAAGCTTCACTGTCGTATCCTACATCGTAGCAGCCGCCTTCCGCACAACTTGCTAGCTGGATTTGCCAACAAACTAAACAAACAACCTGTGACGCTCGACAGGATGGGACGCCAAAGATTCCTGCAGAGGAGAAGCCCACAGCACAGTTGGTGAGTGGCCCCAGCCAATCGCACGCAAATAACAAGTACAGTTGACACACTTGCGATATGGTTTTGTGAACAATTCTTCGATCCTGTTGGGTTGTCTCCTCAACCAGTTCCAATCCAACAAAGCAATTTCTATTGAAGTGGAAACACATAACGTCCGCCTTCAACTTGTGGTGGATCTCCCAAGGCATCTTAGTACCGTAGTACGCGTGGCACGTGTGACTCGTATCTCCGGCTGCAGGCCTTCGTCATCAAAGGATGGGCCATCTCAGGTGTCGCTTCGGCGAGTAAGCTGTGTTGAATCATGCCAGGCATGATTTTCTCAAACCGCACTTCACCATGGAAAGGGAACGGCTAACTTGCAGTTTTCTCAGTTTCCATCCTTCATGCGTGATGCTTTCTTCCTGCGTTCCATGCAGGGATTCGTTTGGACGCCTGCGATGTGAGCAGCATCAACTACACGCCCTACAAAGCGTCAAGGCCAAGACTGTCAATGGAGTGGCAGGACAAGACACTTTAGGACCTTTAGGACACTTTAGGCCAAAGCCTCAAGTAATTGTTGTGACTGTAGGTGGTTGCTTGTCGATTTGTCCATGTCTTTGGCAAGGTCAACTTTTTGAAGTGACTATATACATATATAGATCAAATCGAGATCCGCCAGGTACACCACCACAGCTGGCAAGATTGAGTATCGGAGACTTTGATTCAATTTAACTCCGGATTTATGTGCTGATATGTTATAGATCCACTCTCCATCACTCTTCTTTGCGCGTTTCTAAGTGATTCTAAGTGACTCAAGACTCAAGACATCAAGATCTATTCTGCTTTTGAAGACTGTGGCTCTGAGGATAGCCTGAAGCTGTGGCAGATGACTGCAGGCGAAGGAAAATGCCGTTCTGCTTCCGTATCTCCGTTCTGCCGTTCTGTTCGTGTGCTGAGCATCGCCTCTCTCCAGGTCCACCGAGCTTTCCCAACTGCTTTAGGTCACAGAGTCACGGACCAGGAATCTTCGGTACGAAAAAAGCACCCAGTCAGTTGCGCCATGAGCCAGTCAGAAGTCTTGTGCCAACGGAGTCAAGCAAAACAGCGTTGGCTCACTCCGCAAACAGCAGCATTTGGCTGAAACATGCAGATACACCGGCATGTGTAGGAACATTGTTAGCCACTGCATGTGCCACATTCATGAGAGGCAACAATACTGTCCTGCGATCTCAACATGGATGTGCAACATGGATGTGCTTTTAACAACTTCCGATCCAATGCCACCGGCAAACAACTCATTCATCCTTCTTTTTACAAGTAGAGACAACCATTCGATTTTGGTGCTTGCCCGAGACTTTCCTCACTGTTTTCTCCGGTCATCATTGGGCCGTCTAACTTTGCAAAGAGGTCCTCCAATTTTCCGGGTCTCATGCGTTCAGTTCTAACAGCTTGCGCTGAGGCAGGGGTTTTGCCGTTTACGTTACAGGTTTCAAGAATTTCAAGCTGCATCTCCGGCTTAGCAGTTTGGACGTTGAATGTCTACCGCGTTGATAGACACAACCAGCCAAACACGCCCCAGCAGTAAGACACTTAGATGAAGATGAAGCATGATGACGCATATTAACAAAGTACTGATTATCTATATATTATTGATTGGAGGGTCTCAAGGTCAATTTGGCATGCTAAACTGGTTTTGGCCACATTCACCAGGCTCTTCTGTGGACCTTTGGCATTCGTCGAAGAAATGGCAAGCGTGGCGACGGCCACTTGGCATTTGTCCAATCGGATTTCAGTCGCCTCCGTTCAACCTGTGAAGTTCTTTCAACATGTTCAACGAGAATTTCTATCAACAAGCAGATAAATTTTCATGAATTTTCTTTCAGTTAACTTATAAGATAACTCGACCTTGCTATCTACGAGAGTTCTAGAGAGCGACGAGAGCAACTTGAGGTGAGCGAGATGGAGATGAAGGAGATTGGGAAGTCGTGCAATTCTCAGCCGAAGTATGCCTCCGACAACAGGAATACAGCATTCCAGCCAGCACCGCTCATTTCGGACGGGTTTTTCGATGGAAAGCATGGTCAGGTGGGTCTACAAATCACCTATGGGATTTTTTGGGTTGTTTGTTGATCACCGAGCAACGGATGAGCGTCGTTTTTCGGACGAGCGTCGCCCGCGTTCCCCGTCGTGGCGGTCCGAGGAACCTTCCCAGTTGGTAGTGGGACTCACAGGGGCAGCCTTCGCCTACTGGGCATGGACCAGGTGCTGTCGTTGAGATAGAAAGTTGGCCAGTATACTTCCGAACAGTCGAGAAGTTCATGGTCTCAGTGACTTTGGAAACGTCGCTTTTGCATTCGAAGCTTTGCAGGACTCCTAATTAGAAGCACATGAGACGGTGCAGCGGTGCCAGGATGCGTTCGCAGGCATCCCTCCAGGCGAACCAAAGTAAGGGCACTCAGTCTTGAGAATCTCCAAACAAATGCAATCTGAAGCGTGAGAAACGAGAGCTGAGGCAGTCAAGTGGGACAGAGAGAGTTGCTGAGACAGTCACGTGAATCTGATGGTGACAGCTGTTGGCCGTCGTTTTTTCATGTTCTTTCTCCACAAAAGGCTGTCACTGCCCTGCTGAGGTTCCGAGGCGCGGAGGAGACCGGAGGAGATGTGAAAGCTGGTGGAAGATCGTATTGACGTTTGATTTAGTCAAACCCTCCATATGGAGATGTAAAGCCATTCTGCCGGGGGGAGGTTTATCTGGGTTTATCTCTCAACAGTCTACATTTGTTCAACCACTGTCGACCATGATCATGGATCCTTCTCCAATGGCATCTCACCTAGTTTTCCGAACTGCCCCAAGGGTAGAGGGTGTTTCTATCTGGCGACATAGCCATCTATGTCTGAACGAAAGGTATGGCTTGCAGCTGGATATGTCCCTGTAAGAATCTGTGCCAAAGGAAGACCCTTCCAAAAACCGCTGTGATGCAAAACACGTCCGTCACGCCCTGATGTTAACCAGCAAAGCGGCGGTTTCAACCGGGAGGGTGGGTTAGGGTGAAGATGACAGACCATTCAGTGAACGGGGAAGGCACAACCAAAGTCCCCACAGCCCGGTTCCCCAGATCTGCGCTCGGTATTTTCACCAATGCCACAGATCTAACATTGCCAAAAAACTCATGGATCGTCAGCAGATCCTCCATCTTTTGTGTGACGCCTCAAAGAAACTTGCGCACTTGGGTGTCTCCTGCCAGGCTTCGATCGTGCCGCTTGTCAATACATAATGAACCGGCGAACGGGATGTGTCAGTGATTGGTTGGAGTCGAGTCCAGCCTTCAGTTGGACATTCTAACTTGGGCAAATGGGCAGACTGGGCAGATGCAGTTTTTGTTGGACGATACAAGTCGAGTCCAGGATCGCAAGCTTGTGAGAGAAGACGAGAGAATACGAGAGAATACGAGGAGAGATACATGCATGCTCCACAACCCCTCGCTCGTCTCAGCAATTCACATCGCATGCTTCGGCATGCTGCATTTCTTGTCCATGTAGCTCCACATTGCAAGCAGAATCATATTTGTTATATTTGTTGATTTAAGAAGTAAGTGCTTTTGACATCTTTTGACGTCAATTGAACACCCTGGTTTTACCAATGAAAGTACAGAGATGACACAGGGCTATCAGCCAACCAATCAACTCTCCAAGGACGAGGATACCTTTGTCTGAGTTCCTGCAGCTCCTACGCTCCAATGCGGTTACAGACAGGGCCCTCAGGCTGCCAGGATGTGGCTAGACGTTGAGAAGCCTCTAACGCAAACTTCGGAAGTAAAGAAGGTCCGAAACATTCTAAAACGATCTAGAACCTTCTTTGCGGCGGTGAAGCACAGTGAGGTGAAAACGACCATGTCTGGTGTTTCGCGTCCCACTCTATCTTCATGATCTACCTTCGATCAAAGATTATATGTTTTGTCCCTAAATTTCTAGGAGCCGAACCATTAGTGCTAGCGCTTCTTCAAGGAAGCTCCCTCCGCCCCCAGGCTGGCGGAGCTTCCTTGAAGAAGGGTGAGCTATCCTGCGTCCAGTATGTACGAGCTTACTCCCTTAATTAAGTCGGTGCCTACTTAATTAAGGAAGGCGGGGCCGTGGGCCGTGAGCCCCGAGGCCGTCAGCTACTTGGCCGATCGCCCGCCGGCCGGCGCGCTGCTGCTGACCGCAGTGGCTGCTCCGGTGGCAGGCGACCGCTGACCGTCCCGTGACCGGACATCGACCGAAGATGACATGGCTATGGCGGCTATGGGTCAAAACCCCGGTACCCAACTACCATCCAGAATAGATGCAATCTTGTGGAAATCATCCCAAAAATGGTCCGATTTTGACCCAAACTGCTCCAAGAGTCGACCAAAAACAACCTGAAGGACCGAAAGAAGCTCGTGTAAAATAAGGGAGACGTGAAAGGGAGCCGTGACGTGGAGAGAGATGGCAGACCTTGACGATTCCCCCACCCTTTGGCTGGCGGGTTCCATCAAGTTTCCGAAGTCTCGAGGTAAAAAAGGTCATCCCGTGACAATGATTCCAGTTCTGAACTTGAGTTGCCGCGAGAAACATATTTCGAATGATTTTGTTATCATTTGAATCTTATGAATTTGGTAAGAATCAGAATCTCTTAGAGCAAGGGAAGAGCTGACCAAATACATTTGTGGGTTGTCATGGCTGCACTCAGCAAATGCTGTAAGGGCTGGCTTTTCAATTCTTTTCTGCTGCTTTGGTATAATACGGGTATACAATCATTTATGCCCAATGCTTTTGTGCTGGACACGGCCATTGCGGCAATGGCGAGGTGTCGGAACGGCCCAACTGGCGCCCGTGCGAAAAGAGCAGTCGATGGAGACACTGCTCATGCGCTTGGGCTGAAGAAGTTGTTGCCACCCTTCGACTCAGTTGCATAGAACTGCAGATAGACGAGCTGAGTTGTTTTTTTAATATGTAGATAGACTCTTGATCAACAAGCCGTCCATATGAACAGGCTTTACAATCTAAAGGGTTTTTGTATGTTTTTTGTTGGTGAATCGAGAGTCTACATTATTGGCAATACATGAGGTTCTTTCTTGATTCCAACAAAGCAACATGTGCAAGAATGTCACTTGCCCGAGGTTGAGCTTCATGATGCCTTCTTCCCGATGTACTCCCATTCTCTTAGAAGAGCACTATAAGTATTACTAGTTGTGTTTCAGAAAACTTGCAGTGCTGTTGCTGTACAACCAAACTTTCGCAGTGCCTGTTTGATTTGATTGCCGTTGTCCTTCTTTGGTGCTTCCAGTGGCCTAGGCCAGGCAGCCATCAAGGAGTCTTTGAGGACCGCTTGCGAGCCGTTTTTAGGGTCATTCTGGTCATTGTCCGGCTCGGTTGAGGACGGAAGACCGAGAGCAATCATTGGTTCGTAAGCACTAAGCACTCGCGTGGCGCTACGTGCGCACTGGACTCGGTTTGATTAGACCGAAGCAACATGGACAAGTCTGGACTGGACACGGCATCACAGCCTTTGGCATCACAGCCTGGGCCGCACGCTGTGTCAGCAACTGGCTCAAGGAATTGCCACAAACAATGCAACAGATCAGCAGTTTGTGGACGAAGAGCTTCAGTCAAAAAATGCCAGCTTCGTTGTCGCTCGAAGAGCGGTGGGAAAGTAAACACTTGCCAATGTGCCAAAGTGCACTCCATGGCTTGCAACTCCTGCTAGGACTCGTCAAACGATGTCAAACCGGTTTCTGTTGAACTGATCATAACTGATTTTGTTCTTTTTGCTGCCATAACTGGGGCCTCAAGCGGAGGCCCGACCAGCATATGCCAAACCATGGCTTGTTTCGCTTGTGAATATATCTTCAGAGTCGCAGGAGGATGCTTCGGAGAGGAAGAGGAGCAGGATTGTTCCGGGTGGAGACGGTCGTTTGTACGCCGGCTTTGTGGTGTGCAAGACACTGGTGGGTCCTGGATACAAAGATGATACAACTATATTTAACATCAAGTACAGTAAGTCTCGCGATACTCTGTTTGGTAAGGGAGGAAGAGCGACTCCAGAGATGGCCGACAGGCTCCAGAGATTTACCAGGCCAGGTATGTGCGCGACCCAAGATTTTGCTGGTCGTCCTTGTGGGCCGACGGTCCGTCGGCGGTCGCCGAAATGGGTAGGTTGGCGACGGAGGTTGGTTGGCGGAAGTATGTTGACGTGTATGGTCCCTTTTTGGGATTCTGAAGTAGGAACTTGGATGTGGCTCCACAAAATCGATGGAATGTTCATGCGACGAAGGAGAGCAAACGGCCAAAGAAGGAGTTTTCATGCCATACCCTTCATGTTTCAGGGTGGCAAGGAATGCTAACATGGCGAAACGCTTCCGTATGGCGAAACGGAGTATAGCATTGCTGGTTTACACAGAAAGGTCGTTCAAAGTTCAAAATCATATCCGAACTGTGCGCTTGCCACCTTGACGACTGTGACAAGACTTGCTAAGGTGCGCTTGAGAAGAAACCAGCCCTTACCACCTTTCTTGGAGAAAGTGGTGAGCAGCACATCGGGACGAGAGATTTGCCAAACCCAGGCTGGGCCGCAGGGTAGGTCATCATACGCGGGCAGTAGCTCGGGCACATGCAGAATCCCTTGCAGAATGCTGTAGGAAGCCTCAGCTTTTCCAGAAACGCAAGCTAGTGCTAGAGTAGCTTTCCGTTCTGATGTATTTCAAGATATATCAAGCTTAAACAACTTGCAGTATATAATATTCTTAAACTATCTTAATAAGCTTTGAATGATGCGCGTTGTCAGTGTGTTTTCATGGTGGACGTCAATGATTTCTTACAATGCTTAAATTCATGCGCTGCCGTAGGGGAAAGGGTTCCTTTCACAAAGTGATATCGTGGAATAGACCAGTTCTTTTTTTTGCAGATTCCTCTCACCAGACGTTCACTTCCGCAGAAGCCTTTATTTTTAGGCCTTTATTGATGATTGCACGTTGCGAAAAGTTTGAAAGTGCATTTGCATGGGGGACAGGAAAAAGCTAGGACTTTCTAGGACTTCTGGAAACCTGTGTTTACACGGTGGGCTATACAACAGATGTGAGCATGCACGGACTTCCACTAGTCCCTGTAGGTTTGCAGATGTGGCGTATGAGGTGTGGATTTAGCCATCCAATAGATTTGAAAAACATGTTCAACTATGGCCAACGGCGGCCAAGAGCCACACTCTCCCGGTCTCTTTGCTCTCTCCTTTCTGTCTTCACCCAGACATACACGCTTGCTGCAGACTTGTGAATCATGAATGAGATGAGAGAACCGCTTCCGTTCAGTAGGCATCGATGCTCCAGATGGTGCTGCTTTCATTGCCCTTGGCATGACAATGCATGTTGGTTGCTCCTTCCTCTTCATCCAATGTTGACCTCCGACTTGTTTCTCCGACTCAGTTCCCACTGGATAAGACATTCCAGTGCCGCAAACGGCACTTTTGATGCCAGATCAACTTCTTTGGCGATGCGGTTGTGTCTGGTACTGGTGGTGTACAGTTGCCTCGTCTCACTTTTTGCCTTGGTTAGCCACCCTTTCATGTGAACCAACATGAACAGACTCAGGACCATCCCACTTAACTACTTGTACGTACGTGTTTCAAGAAACCTCGAAGCTTACCTTCTTTGAGCAAGGCCTTCCGCCGGTCACGCAGGAGCACGTGGGCAAGCTTTGTAGAACTTCAAAGCAGATCCTTGATTGACAAGTCAAGTGGATAGAGACAGATATGGAGTCCTTTCTGATAACATCAGTGCTAATCTGCCAACTTGAATAGTATATTCTAATAAGATATTGATAATATGATATTGCAATTGTTTCTTTTGCCCATTTGCCCTTCGATGCCTCCAGGAGATTTCCACGGCATTTGCTCCATGGGACCTTGCAGTCGTTACGAGGCAGCGCTGGTGACAGCTAGCAGCGCTGGGCGCATGTCGTTCGGCATGTCGTTCAGAGTTCCTTTAAACATGCTAACGACCCAACCTGCGTTGGCTCATGAGTTCCCAAGGCCCCCCAACAAGCAAGCACGCCAGGTTTGGATGAGGCTGTTTACTACTTCCAGGTTGGACGCATGTGAGCAACCGTGAGCAACTGCCCAAACCAGCGACTTCTTATGGAGCAGCGGACGTGAACTGAGAATAATAGAGAGTTGGCTGAAAGCTGGAAATGCGATAGGACCCCCTCCAAAGTGGCAACCATGCCAATGGATTTGTTTACATGTTGAGCTGTGTTGTCTGGGGCCTAGAGCGATAGGCACTAGTCCAGAGCGATCACCTTCTTGTTTATTCCCATTATGATGGTTTGAAAGGTTCGAGAGCCACAACGACCGGAGACATCCGCTTTTGAACAAACAACGACCGGAGCTACTCTTACTGAGTTGGAGACTCGGTCGTCAATGAATCCGATCAGCAAAGAAACACCCGCAACTTCTGAAATTCGGAAGTGAAATAGGCCACAGCGAAACGTCTAGTGATGTCTAGTGTATAGTGGCGAAACGTCTAGCTGAAACGAATTTGCATCGCCCAGGAGATATCTCAAGTGATATCCTGTTCGGTTCTTCCCTGAGCAGCCGTTCCCCTTCCTGTCAGCAAGTTTTGCGCAGGTGGATGACAAGGCTAGGTCCGAGGTACTCAGCCTTTGAAGATCTTTGAAGTGGCTCAGAGGTTTTTTGCTCCATGATTCATTTATCTTGGCCCGCCAAGCGTTCTTGATACTTTTCAACAATTGGTCAAATATATTGGTCAACCTTCCACGATTGGTCATCGCTGGCCGTTTTCAAGGATCCTTCAGCGCTCGTGCGAAAGCGCTCATGTGCCGTTGGCAGGCCGTCGTGCAGACGGCCTTTGCCTTTTGGCGGCTGAAGGAAGAGTTGGAGGGCCCCGAAGGCGGCCGTGCTGTCGAGTGCGGCCGAGACATAGGCCTTGCGTAGCTGAAGAGGTTAGCCGAGGGCTATTGAAATCCTTGAAAGATCTTGAAAGGGCTTTGCTGGCTCTGACTCTGATAAAGCAAGTGCGTGCGCACAAAATTTGATGATGATTTATAGCATCTAAAGCAGTTGAGGTGGACAGGACAGGAGCCCTATGTGCTCTGACACCGTCATTTACATACATCAGATTCCAATAAAAATCGCTAGGCCACTGCCACGGTGGTTGCCTTGCGGCAGTGCTCGATGATGCGTTGCGACCCCCAGAATCAAATGTGATTGAGTTCATTGATTCATTGATGTGTTATGTTTGCTTGCGAACAATTGGCACGAACACATCATGACATTTTCACTGGAGGCTGGGGGCAGGCTGCTTGTCAGACTTCTGTCATACCATCAAGCAGTTCTCTGAGTCACACGTTGATGGTACCAATACACCTGTCTCAACCCCGGCAGAAGCGACAGAATCAGAAGTGACGCCAAAGATCTGGTTGTTTCCAACACCAACCACGTGGCTCCACTTATCAGCCAGTCAAGACCGTCTAAACCAGCAGGGTAAATCTGGAATTCCAGAGATGCAAGATGATGCAAGCCAATAAAGTCACCGTGTCGCGAGATGAAGCAGCACGAAGCCAACCATCCGATGATCCGAGGACGTGATCGACCACTGAACCGTCAAACCGCAACGGTCCGCTCGGTGACATCCGCTCGCGTCCACCGAGGCGGGCGCGTCCTACTAGGGGCTCCTGGCCTTACTACTAGGAGCGATCGGACGCTTCGAACGGGGCTCCTGGCATCGCTACGAACGGAGCAAGGACGCTACTGGGGGCTCCTGGCCTTACTACTAGGAACAAGAACGCTATTGGTAGCTCCTGGGCATTTCTAGTACTGTAGTAGCTCCAAGGTTTGGCTCCTTTTCGAACACCCACTTGCGCTCCTTGGGCCGCAGCGGTGCCGCCATGACGGCGCCCGGAAGCTGAGTGGCGACGTCGACGAGAAGACCGGTGCAAGGTCATGAGACTCGATGATAAACACCATGGTCTACCTATATCAGACGTCATGAGAGATTTGAATTTTAGACGTGACCATGCAACGTGAACAGTCACGACATGTCTTTTTCTTCGCGCATTGATGGAACAAGAAGCATGGAATCACTTCGAGGATCAGAGGCAACGTCGACGATTTGACAATGTAATTCTGAGGTATTTGCACGTTGACTACAAGGCATGCAATGAGTGTTGTTTCCTTTTTCAGTGCATTACTCAAATGATGTTGTGATCCATGCTTCTCCAGGACTCAACAGGTGCTTGGATCACACACACACAAACACCCCAATACAATACACAACCAAGACCAACCAGACCATGCTACGCCTTTGAGAATGACTTTTGCCGATCCGCGCGAGAGAGTCTTCATCTATCCATCATACATCATACAATGTAAGCTATTGTAGCTTATTGTTTTTAATAGCATCTTGTTACTAGTAGTAAGGCACCTGTTACTACTAGTAAGGTGCTTGTTCCTAGTAGCGAACATTGTAATTACACACATGTGGCCTTTACTTCATGGGGAGAGGGCCTGAGATGGCCAGTACTGTGCGGGCTGACACATCCGGTGCCGAAAACTGCACTGGGTGAATGAGCAGTTTTAGAGCGGTTGATCATTCTGACCCCTTTGCAGTGGATCTCTGTGGAAAGTTGGAGACATTTTGACCATGACCGAACTGAAGGTCTTCAACTCGCAACTATTGCAAGCACTCAAAGGGTGAGCCAAAGTTTTGAAGCCCCCAGCTGAATCCATTTGAAAGCTCCCTACTGGAGGCACCAACTCCTTTGCCATCTGAATGTGCCGGCTTCCCAGGAACGAAGGATTTCTTGTTATTACTTATTGTGCTTGAACCTTGATTCTCCCAGAGCCAGTCGCGACGAACACATCACCAAAAGTAATTATGTCTACAAAGGCAAGAAACTGCCAAGGCATACTCAGTCTTGCGAGTCACTCTGCTTGAGTTTGCATTGAAACTCTAACACGATGGCAGATTTTGCCCGAGGTTTGCATCGTAGCTTGGTTGCCGAGTCGCAGTGTGTCACGCGAGTGTCTTTTCGCTCAGAGCCCTTTGCTCCTAGTAGTAAGGCCAGCGTCTTTGCTCCTAGTATGTATGGGTGGTGGTATTCTTTGTGACCACCTGAAACAGCATCCTGGACGCATGGCTTGGGTGGTCCAACCATTGTGTCGATCGAAGGTCTTGAAACCTCACAACCCGGTCATCCGAAGGGCATCGCCGAAGGGCATCGCCGAAGGGCATTGCCATGCTCGAATGCCTTCCCACTGAGGTGGAACTGGATCGAGTTGAGGGGCGGAAGGTCTTTTTGAAAGGCGAGAGAGGCTTGTGTTCATTGAAAGAAAATGAAAGGATGATGGATGGCTTGTGGGTGTGTTGCAGAGTGCGGAAACCTAGGAAAGTCAGTAGAAAAGGTGATGATGAACACCAGCAGGCTTCACATCGAGACAATTTCATGCGCCGACGCATCATGCGATTCGCCAATTACGTTCTACAAGCGATTCACACGTTCTCCGTGTTGTTTTGTTCTACAAGCTGGAGAGGAGTTTCTCCTGCCCAGTCGCAAGTTTCGATGTTTTGTAAAGTCGGCGGAACAACTGAATGAGTACCTTTACACTTCCCTGCGTGGACAAACCTGTGAGCTTCAAGCCATCACGGTGGTCAATGCCAAACCAGCATGTGTACTTCTGTATCCATTTGCATGATGTTTTGATAACTTAATGTTGGCCAAACTGCGGAGAATGATCTTAAATAGCATTTATGGACCAGCATGGACCATCATTTGTGTCTCACAATTCTCGTCCTCAGGCAAGATGCTGATCAAAAAGGGCGACGAGTTGCAGAAGACCTGTGACTCGACTTGTCTTGACTTGCATGATATTGTTTGGATCTTTCATGATCTGTCATGATCTTTCATCATGTTTCATCAATGTCTTCCCTTTAACGGCATTTTGCTGCAGTGCATGAAACTTGGAATTGCAGAAGGTCATTTAATGCTTTTCCCAAAGCCTCTTGAAGCCTGTTCCCCAAGGTGAAGCGACCGCCTTATTTGTTGAGCTGAAGAAATCCTGAGATCCGATTGATCCGCAAAAGACGATTCGCGCAAAGGGCTGCTGCGCAGTGCGGCGCAGTTGCGACTTGAGACACAACCAAAGAGAGTGGACTTCGTTCGCATCTCGCCACATCTCTCCGAAAATGGGTGTAACATGGTGTAGCCCACACTGCTTGCAAACGTACCCTCATTCTATAACAATTCGAAGAGTTGTTACATGTTGTTACACCTGAAAGACAGAATTATGTCTTGGCGTCGAGCCCTCCAGTTCCCTCCCGAGTCAGATTTCCATGAATTTTTGGTCACTTGGGCGAAAAGTTGACATGCATCATCATGCATCTCCAATTTGGATCCATGGCGAACAATCCAGCCAAAAAAGTTTCGGACTCCGACCAGTGACCGGGACCCCAATTCACAACGACCCAACTCCAGGAGCTGCGGAGCCGCAACTTGCAGTTCGAATGTCGGGAGGTGGTCTCCGGCGGTGACAGCGAAGTCAACAGGCGTGGTCCCGATGCGGTCGCCAGGCGTCGGCTCGAATTTGCGCCGCTGACTTGCGAAGCTGTTCGGGTTTGGTCCGAACGCGCAAAAAAGAGACGTGGGGGTCGGTTTTCCATGTGTGGGTCGGAGGAGATGTGTAATTGAAGACTCTTTCGGATGCAAAGCTTTCATCATTGATCACCGCCACAGGAATCCAGAAGTATTGAAAAACAAAAAGAATCAAACAGAAGGCTTGACAAAATGTTGATAGCGGCCAAAATAGCTGTGGAACCATCACAATGAGATTTGCGGGCCCACAAGTTTCCGCAAGCAGAACATCAGACGCTGCTTACACTTTCTCCTTTTTGCAAAACATTGTAAAGCCATGTAAAACAACCATTCTGCAACGCTCACAATGCTTCGAGTAGTTTTTTTGGTGGAATCTCAGTGTGAGTTTATGAATTATATTGAATTATCTTTAATATGATCCAAGTGTGCATTTTTCAGCTTCGGTCTCAGTGCTTCGACCGAGGCTGTCGTTGTTGATCGACTTCGGGGGCCTGGTGGCATCGCTGGCAGCGCTATGGTCCGCCCGCAGTGATGGAGGGCGAACATGTTGAGCTCAAACAAGTTATGTATATCAATATATGTTATATATATATATTATATATATATATATATGTTTTTAAGTCTATATAAGTTACTATACAGTTATGGGTCAACATTTCATATATGAAGGCATGGTCACAATGTAGGCATTGTGCGGCTGTGGCATCCTCAGGACATGCTTGCCTGATGGGTAAACCTCCCCTGGATCCGTCTTACTACTTTCAACCAACTCTTTTTGTTTGTCGGACGATTCTTCGGCTTTTCCCATCTGCAAGGTCGATTGGAAAACATCAAGCGGATCTAGAAACCAGGAAACTCACAAACGATCCTTTTGGTTTTTGAGATTATGGCTGGGCCAGAATGTTGACACAGGAATAAGAACCCCTCTCCCCTGAAGGTCTTAAATGTTGGCACCCCGACCCCAATAATGTGGAATCACCACTCCCAAACAATTTGGAGAGGGATTCCAAAGACTCAATCTCTTCCTGAAGAAGGATCCCCAACACTAGGGATTCCAAAGACAAAATCTAATTGGGTTTGAGAAGAGAGGGAAAGGCAGATGATGGAAAGGCGGATGGCGGATTGGGAAATTAAGGGTTAAATGGGGTGAAGAAAGGAACAAATAGATCAGGAGACAGATGGGCCGAACTGGGAGGCTGTTCTGGGTACTCACAAAAGGCGCGTGTGAAACATTTGCGTGGAAGATGTTTCTTTTGAAAGGTGGTTCGTATTGCAAGAATAAGTTTGGCTAAGTTCATAGGGGGCTTCATCACTCCTCTGAATCAGGAGTACGTACAGTTAATTATCAGTACTGGTGGCTAGCATACTTGAAAGGCAGCATGTTTGAGTACGACATTGGGCCCTTGGTGTTTTCTGGAATTTTGAACAATAATCATACACTAATACAGTATCTAACACACATTTTATTACCGAGTTTTCTTGATTTTTACACGGGTTTTGTTGGACCCGTTAGCTTCGATCCACAGGTGGATCGACTGTGGCTGCCCCCGATCGACTGGATTTGCGTCACGAATTTCGCGAACCCAAAGCAACCTCCGTGGAGGTACCTCTTCAAGACCAATACCCAAAACAGCTTCACTGCAAAGCACTTGGAGGCTGGCGAACAGAAGAGAACAGAATTGAAGATAGTGTCAAACACTTGCCCACCAAACATAATCATCCAGTTTCAAAGAAACTATTATACTGGTACAATAGAAATCAGTTGGGTCATGGTCTCGGCCTGTCAAAAAACATGCCTAGAAAAATCCTTGGAAAGGATGGTCTTTCATGATGAACATCTGCGGAAGATTGGAAGACCATCCTTGACCGTCGCAGGAAGGAAAAGACTTGAGCCGTCAACCGTCTGTGACCTTTGCGGATGTCGCAGGCGGGCCAGTGGTGGGTGTGACCGGTTTCATCCGCGGACAGACGCGCGCGGCCGCCCGTTGATTAGGCAGATGAAGTGGTTCAATGGAATGGTTCAATTGAATCCCTCAGAGATGGTGAAGAACAATGATAGCTTGGTCATCGCCTTCAATTTGATATACATGGGGTGCGTATTGCGCCCATTTTTGACCCTACGGACACCACTCGCGACGCTTGTCATCCAGAATCATCACTGCCACAATGACGTATGTTCTTGTTTCATTTTCTTTCAATTTGTTCACTTTATCTTCACTTTTCAAAACTCAATGTTAATCTTTAATGCACCCACTCTATTGCTTCATCCACTTCATTGTTCAGGTCATGGACCACACCAGTCTGGTGTAGCTGCAATGATTGGTGTAGCCACGAATGTGTCACGAGCTGGCCGTTTGATGACCACCCCCACATACCCCCACAATCTATAATAAAAGAACAATAGCGCCTATTAAAGCCAATTTATGGTGGCCCGCCAGAGCATTCAGCCCCGGGATATTTGGCTATATCACGCTCTGAAGAGCAGTTTCAGACCTCCGGGATTCATCACGTGCAGGGATGGAAGGTACCAAAGAGGAGCTGCCGGGGCCCAAGTCGCCGGATGAGTCAGGCCGAAGTCGCCAGGTGAAGCTGTAGCGATCTGAAGCTGAAGATAATTCAAGTCTGGCAACTGGTCCAAGCACATCATTTTCATGTCTGCAAAACTCTCAAGAAAATGAACAAGTATGTTGATGTTGCCTTGAAAAGAATTCTCGATGCGAAAGCACGCTCGCGACAAAGAGTGGATTCGAACATAAGCCTGCAACAGAAAACAAGTTGAAGCAGGTTGTCGTGGGAATAGGACGAGATTGAACACTTTGTAGGTTTCAAGTAAGTACATTGTTGCAGGCCATTGAATAGTTTTTGAACATGCGCAATCACAGTCACAGAGCAGCAAAGTACTGCCGACAGAAGACTCTATTCCTTTTCTACTTTACAGTAATTGTTCCTATTATTTTCTAATAGTGATGGCCTCCAACCTACTAGCGATGGCCTCCACCTACTAGCGGTATATTCAGTATTGCTCAAGTTTTTGGAGACATCATGTAGCACAAAGATTGGTGCAAGACAGATGCCCTCCGGCCATTGGCCTTGGTTGTGAGGCAAGAAGTGATTGCCTACTTGCGTCAGCATCCTGGATGTGTAGTTTTGTGCGTTTACCATGGGCTTCACTTTCATTTTCCTTCACATCCGTGTTCAGAGACAAAGCCACCTTGCTCACTGGCTTGCACTGCCTCATGTCATGACATGAATGAAAATTCCACGTCGCCATGACATTGCGCGAGGGAACCCTCAGTGATCCCGACTTCTGACAGGTGATCCCGACCGATTCTATGCCTTGGGACAGGACCTCAGATGGACCCGGGGTGGAGCCGGTCGGACCCCTTGACGCCAACGAGTCAGTCCGAGAGCCGCGGGCGAGCTCGAGTGCGCGCGCTCGCGTTCGATGGCAGGGCGGTTCGATTCGGCCGTTTGTTTCGCATCGTCCAAGGTGCACGGCCTCCACGAGGTATTTTATTGGCTGGTCCCAGTGGCACTGGAAAGACGCTCATGGCCCGAGCAGTGGCTGGGGAGGTGCCGGAGGGGAGGGGGAGGTCTGAAATAGGTACTGTACTGAGCAGGTTTTCGCGTCTACGTGAAAAGACGTATAGCACCTTGGGCCTGCCCAGCGGTGTGTGGCACTGGTTTTGTTTGTGCGTGGACGCCCTGGAGTGATCAGTCAGCTTAGCTGGGCCTAGCTGCTGTTTTTTCGGATGGTCTCAGCAGCGGAGCAGGGGGATTATACGGTGGGAGACTGATTATTCGGAGCCGGGTCACGAAGCTAGGAAAATCATGTGGAAGAGAGGTAAGACAAGCTTTTTCGTTCTTTGCTTCAGTTCAACTTGTGCTTGTGAACTGGACCTTTGACACCACAACCACCCAAGGATCATCCAATGACATATCTTGCAGAATTGTCCTGCCTGGTTCTTGCAGCCAGGCAGGAGTGCCATTTTTGTATGCCAGCTCAGCATCATTTGTGGAAATTTTTGCCGCAATCTTAGACTCTAGCCCAAAAACACGGCCAAACATCCGTTGTTTCTGTCACGCTCACGTGGTCTTCACGTATTGACACCTCACACGTCGTCCATCGTCTTCCCACCTTACATGTATGACCGAACCGAACTGCTTCTTTTGCGAAGGACAGAAGTAGGAGCCCTCAGACCCGAGCTGACTGGGACTTCGCTTGGAACTTTCGCGGGCCACTTGGTGAGGTCGGCCAAGGAGCTTCAAGGATTCGGCAGTTTTTTGAGCAGGTGGGGCCCCGGTGGGCCCAAGTTGGAAGGGGAATATTGACACTTTTTTAGGACACCTCTTGGCTGTTCTTGCGTTTCTCAAGGCATGTGTTTGGAAGATTTTGGAAGTGGTTGCTTCTGAATTGAAATCACGTGACGTGCATGATGGTTTGGCCAATGTTGACGGTTGTCACACTGAGTCACCTTTTTGATGTGTGTGTGATGGTCATTGTATGTCACTGTATGCAGCCTATTTGAATATACTAGTATTTGCTTTGTTGTCTCATTTGGGTTGCTCAAATAGCTCCGTGTTCGCATATTCTTGGAGCAAGCGCCTAGGGGCATGTGTTCAAGAGAAAGGAAGACCTTCAGACTTGTGTTGAACCCCCATGCCTCATCATTCCTTTCATACAATTGCACAACTGGTGCTCATAGCACGCGGTTTCAAGAGGCACGGGCCTGTGCCCCTTGCATCGTCTTCCTCGATGAGCTTGATGCCGTAGGTTGCAGCCTAATGGGACTGTATCACTTACCTGTCAACCGCTGTTGTTCTGAGCACATTGGTTGGATGCAGGGATGTTTCGGCTGTCACGACTGTACCTTGACTCCGGGCAAAGATGTTGGGCGTGGCCGCTCAGCTTGCCTCCAGGTTCATCACGCCAGATGTCTGCATCAGGCGGTGGAAACCAGGTGTGCGCTTGGGAGATTGACGACGGGGGAAGAAACAGAAGGTAGGACAAGAATCTGTTTATCACCTGGGTGACAGGTTTGTTTTGCCAACAGACAATGCCTGCAGAAGAGGACGAAGAAGAAAGGTATTTATTTGTGACTGATACATAGTTGAGTGTACTTTAGGTTTTATATGTACGGTACTGTAAAGACTACGTAGCTTCCGCTTATGACAACAGGATTCCCATTTGAGTTATACTGTCGGCACCATTGGAGTGCCCTATCAAAGAACTCATTCCATTTCGAAAGACTCACCGTTTCAGCTGCTGAGACGACTCCAATCGCCACGTGCGTTTGACTGACGGCGTCTGCCAGGAGTATGCACAGACTCTGAATCAGCTCTTGCTCGAGCCCGGAGCTCAGGGCCACCTTGGAAACCGAACACTAGGAAAGGTTCTTGAGCCCCCAAGGTTCTTGCAATGAAAGCAGCAGATTAGATATGTATGGCTACACAATGACTACACATAGGTCCTTAAGTGGTTACACCCTCTAAACCAGACGAGTGGTCTTGCCGACCGCGCTCTGTCGTGCTGCTTTGGGGTCCGAGGCTGGATGGTGTGGAGAGCAACGCCAATGGTGCGCAACGCTCTTCATATGGAGGGTTTTGTCAATAGAAAGTCTACATTAGATTTTACGAGCCTCCTCGTTGCATTTATGTTCAGCAGCGGCGTATTTTTTTCCGTCAAACTGTATTTTTTGCATTGAGCATTGATTGCCGGTATCACTTTTTTTTTCATCCAGATTGTTTTTGCACAAGAACAAGCTTGTCCAGCTTCAATAAACTCTTTGTCACAGTTTTTTCCTTTGGTAAATAGTAGATCAAAGACGTGTTGGACAATACGAAGGCCCCCAAACATAAGAACATAGAAAGGACTACTATGGATGGCAGCTTCAGAGCGTTGCACGGCAGGTGCTCCGGTGGTGGTCACCATGGCGGCCACCAATCGATACCACTGTTTGGACGAAGCCTTGGTCAGGCCACTTAAGACGACCGGTGGTGCCGAGGGGTGAAACACACGGTAATTGTATAATTACTATGGTTCCCTACAGATCAGTTTGATATCTTTTGACTGGACGTGGCCATACAGGCATACAGTAACACTACTTAAGGATATCAAAATACCAGGTTTTCCCGCTGTCCCTTCATCCTCAAAACGGTTTTCTTGCGTGTCCTTCCCCAAAATCGGAAGAGGCATGCCATTGCCAACCTGGTCGAAGAATCCCGGGCTTTTACCTCCGATCCCGTGCACCTGGCCGCTCTGATCGCAGACCTGGCCGTCTCGATCGCATCGTCATGGTGAACTTGCCCAACCAAGCCGAGCGAGTGGCTGGTAGACCCAGATGAGAAAGGCAGGTTGTGACTCCTGCCAGTCTTCAATGGAATTCCTGAATCAGATCTTGACATGAAGCAATGGAAACCTTTGCGAGCAAGGGGTTCATCGACTCAATTGCTTTTAGTGGCCTTGCTTTCCGACCAGAGCGAAAGGAGCGACGCTCAGCAACACCCTTGGGTGTTGCTCTTTGCAAGGGTGAGCTTGATTGGAGCATCACATTCCTTGATTTTGTCGAACTTCTTGAAATATACAATTCAAACAAGCACCAATAATATATAAACTTATTAAACATTATATATATGTATATGAACATATATTGATCTCACGACTACGTGGCGGTACGACTGCCGTGGTTTTCACCCAACTCACCGAGGCGACTCTTCAGATCCACGCTGCCAAGCTGAGGACCGAGGTGCGGCGCGCCGTCACCGCGGTGCTCCACCGGGCGGAGAAGCGCTGTGGGTCGAGTCGACAGACCGCAGAAGACCACGAGCCCATGTTGTGTCAGAGACCCTGGTTTTTCGCAAAGCACCCCCAAATTTGATAGCATGAATTGGAACTAGGATGAACTAGGTCATAATTCGAAGTTCCAGAATTGATAAACACAGGTCGGTTCTAATTATTGCGCTTGGTGACCCCATCGTGGGTTTCATGGCAGCCATGGACGAGAAGAAATGCAAACTGTCGTGGTTCTGTCAACTCCAGCTCAGTTCAGATCGGAAGTGAAGCGATCTACCGATCATTTGTGCTTCAAACGCGTCATGGAACTGAAGTGTGAGCATTTCGCAAGTCCAAAAACGTCCACGTTTGAGGTCAAACTCCTGAATTCTCTTCAGAAAATCACGTGTTCCCCAATGAATTCGCTGCCCGCAGTCTTCGTCAGTATTCGGTCGTCAGAACTTGGACTTGGCTTTACTGGCGCGACGAACAGAGGCGAGCGGCGACTTGCGAGGCAATCGCTGTTCGGAAATGATTTGTTAAACTGTTAAATGTGGTTTTGGTATGTTTTGGTAGATACATTGAATTTTTCTTGCTTTTTAAAACCATGCGAAGTTGTTCTGAGAAAGGGTGGTGACTTGCTGGCCACAGACCCCGGACACCTACCGATAGGGGTAGATAGGGTGCGTCCCAGCAGTACAGCCGTGGGTAAAAGAGGATCGCAATGTATGTTTTGAGAAAAACCGGCAACGTCTTGGGGCAAGTCTGGACGTGCTGCGTTTGTAGATACTGTAGGTAGCATCCACATTGAGGATTCTGGAAGAGTCTGACTTGACATCTCCTGAGAAATGCTCCCAAACAGTTCAACAAGAAACGCAAAAACCACCAGTGCAGCGTTCGATCGCCTCGGACATCTCTGAAACGCCTCAGATCCTTCGGATTCTGACTCGGGCTTCCTGCGGATCCGGAGCCAGCATCTGATTCTGAGGGACCATGGAAACCATTCCATCCCATTCCATCCCTTTGTTGACTCAGGGCATGAGTGGCGCGGACCTGGCAAATCTCCTGAACGAGGTGCGAAGCTCGAGGGGTCTAGACTGAGAGGACGGAGTTCTTTTGAAGTGCCTTTAAGGGGCATGCGGCATAAGGATTTTTATAGTGGTCGACTTGTCCAGAAATCACTGGGCATAGGAAGAAATCTATGATTGATTCTTCAAGGGTATTCTCGGAGGTTGCTGGCTTCGTCTGCCAGTGGGGGATTGTTCGAACGATTAAATAGCGCCAATCAGAAAGGACAGCGATATTTGCATCATGTTGCATCCCAATCATGCTTATTCATCCTTATTCGAACACCGATATGAAGGCAACTTCCGGCAATTCTAGAGTTTAAGTATAAAATATATGCATCATGGTATTCTATTTTCCTGGCATTCCAGGGAGGTCATTGAACAGCACTGCTGGAGCATTGAACAGCAGAAGCACAGCACACACGGCCCGCTGCTTTCCTCTTCGCCCGCTCGGGCCCACCGCCCGCTAAGCGCGAGGCCGCTCTGCTGGCTGCCCGGCGCCGTGCGGACGCGGTGCGTTCGGTGGACCCAAGTGACCGGTGGAGGCGAAGGAGCGTCAAACATGGCAAAGTGATCAGCGTGTTCTTTCGTGGCTCCAAAGTTGGAAAAAGAAGACATGGCCTTCACCCATACAACATGGCCAGCATGTCTGTGCTGGAACACAGCACAGACAGTGAATGAAGGACAAGTAGATCATGAAACTCGTAAACACACACACACACACATACACACAAGCATGATGTTCTTTTTCCATTCACATCATGTAGGCGGTATGGGGCCGGAATGTTCCGCTTTCAACTGAGGCATGGATCACATCTGGGATGTCCTTGGAAATCCCAGGCGGATGGACTGAGACAAGCAAGAGTGGTGGCAGCGACTCAAAGAGACAAATTATAACTCAGGCAAGGAGCTGGCAAATGTAATGCCAGGCCAACATCACAACCAAATCACCCAGTTGAGCATTGGCGCTGAATGAAATTGACAGAACATGAGCCAGCTTGGCTACAACATAATATCTCTATATGTATCCTTATGTTCCTTAGGCAAACTTGAGCTGCTGTATCTCTTCTCAGTTGGCACACAGGTTCTTCTGGTCAATATATTTCATCGTATTTCATATCATGAATGACGGTGCGTTCAAGTTTCCTTACCAGCAGGGAAGAAGGACGCCAAGGCAGGAAACCCAGGCGGTGAGGTCGAGGTCCATTGCGAAGAAGCCAGGCCGAAGCAGCAAGGCTCAACTACCAGTGAGGGCCTCGGGTAGCTGCAGCCGTTTCCGCTTCCATGCTGCACCCGAACGTCTTGGTTTCGGCGACGTGCAGCGTTTGGCAACTTCCGTGTGAAGATGGGAAACAAGGGTTGGAACAAGGTGGAAAAGCAGATTTTATTGCCCACGGGCGAAACAACTCCAAACTGCTGGATATCTCAGACGGTGTGAAACTCTTGTAGAGCACTCCTGTGCGACATGCGAACACCTTATGCATCGCCATCCCTGCCAAGCGCCAATAAACGCCAGTGGAAAGGGCTGCTGACACGCCAATGCCAATGGCACGTTGCAACCTCACGACTCCGTGCGGGCGCCCCACGCAAACGGATTTCCAGCACCTCGACCGCACAAGACTTGCAAGTGACTATGCCAAGCTATGCCACATGCGGTCTCCCAAAATTGAAACCATCTCGCATGTTTGGAATGACTTCGACACCTTGCTGCCGGACCCAGACCACTCAAAATCGTGAGCTGAGACTTGTCACGAAAGCACAGCTTTGACATGTGTCGACGAAAACCCTTCTCAAGTTCAACAAGCACAGCGACATCCAACACTTCCAGCAGACTACCGCGCAAAAGCCAATTGTAATGACACAGCAATGCACACTGTGCAGCAAAATCGCATGTCATGCTTGGAAAGTTACGTACGTTTCCACATGTTTCTACATGTTTCATCATGTTTCTACGGTGTCCGGCTTCAATCTAAGGCGTTATGTTTCCGCAATGGGAGGACCATACAGAGATCACGCACCCGCTTGTGAGCGGTTCCCGACACCAGTGCAACGTCAAGCGACCACAGCTCTACCATGCTCCAGTTGTACCACTCAGAACCCCACGAGAACCCCAGAGCGCCAAACGCATTCGGGATGACCGGTGACCGGTGGGGAACTGCCCGGGGCGGAACAACGAGTCCACACTGGCAGGATGGCTCGGCTGCAGACCTGAATTTCCATAGACCGTGCTGACTCTATGCCAAGGCTGGAGTGATGATACTCCAGGTGCTGGAGCAGGCTAGTTTGGGCAAAGCTTTCATGGTAGTAGCCAGCCTAACCCTGAACGATCCTGCAAGTGTTTTGGTTTTGGATGGTTTTGGTGATGCTGAATTTGTCAAGTTAGAATAATATTGCACGATATAGCAGTTGTTCCCTCCCTCTCGACAGTTTATCATCCAAAACAATCCGTTCGAAAGTGTCAGCAAGGAAAGGCTTTGCTTAGTCCGGGTTTGGTATTCGTGTCAATGTCTCTTTGTTTTGTTCCATTTGAACCCATTTAAATGTCGCTTTCTCAGTTGCCAAACCAGGTTTTTCTGATGCTCAAGAGCAATGTGTCGCAACCTGAGCAAACTCCAATGGTCGGAATTCGACATGCTCACATGTCGGCATGCCTTAAGCTTTGATGCGTTCAACCGAAACGGTGCCTTAAACTTAAAACACTTTGGGCTCTCACGGTCACGTCTTTACAAACAGTTCGGCCGAGGCATGCGATTGGAGTCTTTATTTTTCCTTGGATTGCATCATAGTTGAACTTTGTTACTAAAACTTATCAGTCACTCAAAGACTCAAAGTGTTCTGCTCCGTTTGGCAGTGCAGCTTCCTTGCCAAGCAATGCTTTGGATGACCATGTGTTGTTCCAGCAGCATATATTTTTGTTTGTTCCCTCACTCTTCAAGCCAAGAACACTTTTTTCTTCGCGAACTTCGCGAACCCTTCGCAACAAATAATCGCTGCGAAGCCGACGTCGGTGGCGTGTTTCCAGGCGAGGCTCTTGGCAGCTTTCGCTGCAGCTGTTGGATCCCGAAGCTCGCCCAGTGGGGGGTGCCGAGGTTAAGTTCGTCGTGTCTTCCCGTTGGTCGGCACGAACACATCGATGTTTTGTTCGATCTTTTGAAGAAGGACATCTGAGCTGAGTTTTTTTTGTGCATGACAGGAATTATATGAAGGTTGTCCTGTGGTTTGTCCGCGTAAGCAAATTCGCTTGGGGGCGTAGGCTCGCCAAGGCATTGTTGGGGAATGTTTTCGCGTAGGTTCCTTGCGTGTTTGATTGCTTGAATGTGTTGTCTCTCATGGTTTCGGTATTTTGCTAGGACAGAGGCTTAGTTCAGAGGGACAATGGCCAGCAAGGAACAAGATCCCGACACTGCACACATGCAAACAAACGATGCAGATAGTGCGTGAAATTGCTGTGGCAAAGCCATTCTTGCCAATAGCGGCGATGGTGGAAATACGATGAAATATGTTTTCTAGCGTAGGCCTCGCGTAGGCTTCGCGTACACACCGCGTAGGCGGACCTCCCATTTGTGCACTATACCCCACGTCTCCACACAACTGTCTTTCGGCTGACAAGTCTTGCCTTGCAGCTTGCTGGCAAAAACATGGAGTGAACACACGTCTTCTTACAGGTGGCAGTAGTATAGTGGTAGTCGTCGCAGTCGTAGCCGTAGTGGCAGTAGCCGAGTTCACCAGGCAGCGACGTGACTAGACCACAAGCACAGAAGAGTGAAACCCAATGGCAGCGTAGGCAAAAACACACTACTAGTAGCAACACAAAAGCTGCATCGCGTATGCTTCGCGTAGACGTGCTTCAACTACCGCTGTCTCGCGTAGGCAAACACTGGTGGCGTAAGCATGCGCGTAGGCACCGACAAGTTACAACACTCCCACATAACAAAAAACGCTGCTCATCTGGAGAGAATGGCATAAGCAACGAGATGAACAAAGGGATGGTGTGTGGTTCTTGAAGAAACATGGAAGAAACACTGTAAATCACTGTAATTAGTATTGTTTGTTATTTCTATTCTAAATGAGGTGAAGGCACCCTTCCTACCGGACACAGAGATGGGCTGAGAGTTGGGACAGTGCCCGCTTCATCGGTGCATACCGGCTTTCAGAGGACTAACAAATGAAAGGTCGTATTTAAATAGATATAAATATGTATATATATATATAAATAGATGCACAAAATCATATGGGTCTTTACTTTGTTTTTAAACTATATGGTTTTGCATTCGAACTGTCTCGAATCATTTTTTTGCAAACTGCCTCCTCGCTGAACTCTGTGTTCAGACTTTAAAGGTTAGAGCTCCTTGAGCATGGGTTTTAAGAATATGACAATTTTCAGGTGATCCCCAGACCAGAATAGTCGAACATGCACCAGGCTCTGAAGGGATGGTCGGGTCGTCACACTGCAGGTCCAGCAGACAGTCTTGACTGAGACCAAACCTGTGATATCCGCCGCCACGAGCGTTTTCTGTCCCCATTTCGGAAAGATGTGCAAGGTGCATCGAAATTCGATGAACATTCGTATGGGAGTGCCGACCTCCTGCCATTTCCCAACTTGTCTTTTGTCGCCTTCTTCTTTGTGACGCATCTTGGAACATGCAGCAGTTGCAAGTCTTGCATACGTTCTGCTGAACGGTTTCACTGTTGCAATCAATCTCTACAGGGGTTCACGAAAACCCGCCAGCAAAAAAAGGAATCACACTTCCTTGTGTGGATAGGATAGCCTTTTTGCCTCTTCTCCTTTGCCCATTCTTTTCACCCCCACCGGTCACAAGCTTTGAGAGAATTACTAACGATCAATTACAGACATGTGATTCAAGAAGCAGGACTCATTGCTCTTTTCAGTCGTGGCTGACAGATTAGTGTGCGTGAATCTGATATCAGGTTTTCATGCAGTGCAAAGATGCTCTAGTGCCACCGAACTAGTGGTTCTTGGACCACAGTTGGAGCACCATGGTTTACATCTCCATGATCCGATCGATGGGAGCATCATTTGTTTGTGCTTGACCGGAAACCCGTTTGGGCGATCCTCAAAGCCACATGAACTTGTTTCCATTGGAGGTACTCGTAGAATGGAGAGTCCTCAAAGGGTTAATGCCCCAGGCATCCGAAGGCCAGATTTTGATGGACCCCCTTCAATACCTCGGAGATAGATACAAGCAAGAGTCTGAGCATCACATCACATAGAGTGTGGCGCCATGGAAGAGTCGTTGAAAAAAAGGAGACATGCACTCCGAGCAGCATTGCGAAAGGCTGGTGCAGAGAGGGAGAGACCACGTGATGTGCAGTCTATCTCCAGGGTGTACAAGATCGTGCAAGCCATCGGCTTTTGAAATTCCTCACACTGCATGGTGAGGACATGTGACAGCAATTGTAGCTACACTGGCTTGTTGTGGGCCAGCTAGAGCAGCTTAAACTGGCTGTTCTGTAGTCTCATTGCATGAACCCTGATGACAGGAACCAACTGCAGGCCCGCCTGAAGTCAGGCCTGTGTGCACAGGTCGAATCCTATGTTGTATAGCTTTGTAGTCCAAAAAAACAAGTAAAATCTTGTTGAAATAATGTTGAATCCATGTAGTAATCCATGCTTTTGCGCATGGTCAGCCGTAGTGGCTGCCTATGTCTGCCTACTCTCAGGATCCTGGAAGCAAGAGTTGCAAGTCTCTTCGGGGCAGGTTCGCCGCCTTGAACGGACCTCCGCCGTGGGGAGCTGGTGGACGTGGACGTGGATCGACCAACCATTCCTACCGTAGGTGGACGAATTTGTCTCAAAGCCTTACGATGTTACAGGCATGACCCTGGTACAACCCCTGACATTTGGCATGTTGGTGAAGTTGGTTGGCTTGAGTGGACGAATCAACAAACATACTTTTCACTTATATAGCATTGAAATCAGGGGCGCGGGCGTGGGGATCTAGCATGTGGTTTAGGGGGCTGATTAAATTTGTCCATCTACTGTATCTCATCGAACTTTGGGAAACTGTTGGTCGACTTTTCAAAGTATGGGTCGATGCTTTTTCAGGCGATCGACCCAAGTTTGTTGTTGTTTCTTGTAGCTTTCAGCATGCCTCATCTTCCTCCACCGCATGTGCCATCTTATGTTGGGAGTTCCATCCTTCCTGGGACCTGGAAGCTGAACCGGTCGACCGGTGAAGCTGTAGGCCTTGGTAGCTTCCACGTTCTCTCCAGGTGAAGCTGTACTTTGGGAGAAGTTGCGGCTGCAAACTCCTCAACCTGAAGGTACGAAGACCCCCATCGGTGCAGTCCGTCCGGGAGAAGGAGAAAATTACGGAAGAGATGCGGTTCATCTAAACCCCGTGGCATGGGCGAGTTTGGGTGTTTTCTTTCGGGGGCTGTTGATGCAACTATATTCAACAACTCTTAGCTTTTGATTCTCACCCTTTGCAGCTTCTGGTTGTTGCTGTTGTTGCCCCTGAACAGTACCTCTTTGGTTGAGAGCACAGCACATCCGTGAGCGAAAACTCGCATCGTCAGAGCGAGAATTCCAGAAAGGCATCACATTCAAGCACAAAGCTATCAGTGCGAATCCACTCAACACCTTCAAGTGTCTTGAGTTTCAGCATAATGTGTGCAGATCTTTACTGGGGTGACCAGCCCTGGTAGGTGCATTCAATCTGCTTGTGGCACGCCCAGTGCAGTGCATGAAGACACCCGCCGTGGTGCTCATGCATCCCACAGGCAAGTGCAAGGCTGGATGAAGTTCTATATGTTTTTGCAAGTGCATCTATAATTTGATCTGCAGTTGCTTTCTATGGTTGTAGGCGCAGCCTCTCAAGACAACTACTAACCATCAGGGAAACCATGGAAACCGGTGGCAAGACAGTGAGGAGTTGCTTCAGAAAACGTAGCGCGGTGAGGAGTTTATGGCTGACACCATGGAGAGGTGGGCGAGGAAAGGACTCCTGACCATTGCATTTGATGCACCTTATCATGGTGAGCGAGCCCTTCCTGAAGCAGGATTGAAGCTTTTCCGACGGGACCCGTGCAATTCTTTTGGGGCGAGCGAACAACTTGGGAGTACCCATGGGACCCATGTACAAACCATCAAAACCAATCGCTGGGCCTGTTTTTTGACCCAGTAACAAAGATGGGTAGGTGTGTAAAAAGGTCGACCACCAGCCGGTATCGCTAGCACTTCACCTATTCTCTTCGTAGCTTTGAGGAACAACAAAGCAGTGGTAGCCAAACAAGTTCAAAGATGCTCAGAACTCAGAACAGTTTCAACTGGGATACGTCCGAGAGAACGAGAATGCAAGGAGATCAACGAGAGCGGACATGGCCCACTGGTCAGGAGTGACTCATGTTACTAGTAAGGTCGAAAGCCCAATAATAATAGACTTTTGGGCTTTGTCATATAGTCAGTCTATATGACTGTGGGTGAAAACCAGGAAACCTTGCTTGACACTCCCTTGTTGGGAGTGTCCTCACGGACCGGGCCCTTTTCACGAGTCACGAGTTACTGCGTCAGTCGAGGAAAGACCTCTCCCTGAGCAGTTTGGGACCCTCGCAACTCAAAGAGATTGGCAGCACAGAGTCAGGACGATTGAAGGTCTACTTTGATGCCTTAGTGAAGGGCTACCGAAGTGGCAACGAACGGTTTGTACTGGACATCTCTAGGGATGCTCTTTGGGTCATGGACTATCTATGCTTCCGACCTGACGTGGTCCATGAGCGGATTGGTGCGATGGGTGTCTCCTTGGGTGGAATGGCATGCTGGCTCTTGGCGGCAGCAGATGAGCGTGTCTTTTCGGCGGCGCCTGCGATAGGCAGGGATGATCATGAATGATCACGGAATGTATATAAACAGTATATACTGTACGTTTGTTGCTTCGCTGGTCAAGGCGTCCAATCTTTTCACCATTCCCTGGTCAACGACCTCTGGCAAGCCCGAGTCGATTCGATTCTTCCAGCCTTTGAAACGGCGAAGACGGACATGGGCAAGTCGAAGATTGACCAAGAGGCGTGGATTGACCACGATCTGAGCGACTTCTGAGGCGTTTCTATATAAGTGACCAGAAGTGCAGGATCCCCTTGATCTCAGTAGAAGTGTTCCATTCTGAAGCAGCTCAGGGTATGCAACTCATTGCTCACAAACTATGCTTTGCAGCTCATGGCGTGCATGGCATGCTTTTGACCAGCCGATGTAACTCATGGCTGGTCACTTGCGACAATCTCATGCCGCACAACTCATGTCATGCTCTTCATGCCACGCAACTCGTGACATTGTGCGCATTTCATAACTTATCTCGTTCACGAGTATGTGTTCAGGGCTTGCAGCTTGTCTCCTTCAACTCATTCCACGCTGGAAGTTGTCAGGTGGTGAAAGCTGTTTGGGCGCAAATCGCACCAGGATTGGCAGAGGCCAGGCAGCAAATGCCGATAGTGACCCTCTTTGTTCATTCTGAACATGGGTGAATGCGCCTTCCCCTATACAATTGGTATGCCCGACGAGTTCTTTTGGGAGACTGGTTTTGGTCTTTCGTTCGCCAACTGTTTGTAGGAGCTGTCCTACTGTACGTCTCCGTTTCGCATTGATTTCATAGGTTGATTGTCATTGTCATTGATATGACAGATTCGTGGAGATTGACTTGTTTTATGATGTTTTATGTAGATGTCTTAACTATATGTGTGAGTATCGTCGTATCATGATTAGCCACTTGCTCATTTGAAGCATGCTTTGCAGCCAGCACTGAAGTAGCTGAGCAACTTTCCTAGACGAACGTGTTGCTACTGATAGCCCGCTTGCAGAAGAGGAAGATCTTCCCGACCCCTCGAGAAGTGTTCATCTATGTTTGCATTAGGGGATATGTTCTTATTATAGAAATGGGCTATCGCCCTGGTGCCGCTAATGTATCGGCTGGATGTCATTGCGTCGGGTTCAGAGAGTGGCAATTTGATGCCAAGATGCAGTGGAAAAAATAATGATGAAAGAACACACTGGAGCTTCACGTAAAGAGCACAATCCTTTTCAATGTATAATAAGCTTCAAAGTGAAGACCTGGAGCAAAGTGGCAGGAAATGCTTTTGGAAGAGCGCGCTCAAAACCCCCATGTACAAACACAATTTTCCGGAAATTACCCATTCCGCACTCCACTACACACTCCACCCACACGGGTCGGGAGGTCCAGACCCAGATCCATGGAGGGAGTAAGATTAGCGGTTGCGGGCGAAGAAGCAGCAACTGTGCCCAAAACGCACAATCTCAAAGCAAAGGCCACGGCCAACATGAAACAAGGGCAAGACCACAGTGCCAGTCACGAATGCTGCTGCTGCTGCTGAGGCGGAGTGTGTGGGGCGGTCTGTGCCAGGATTTCTTTGAAGGTGTAGTCACCTCACATGCAGTTTTTTTGTGTGAGGATATATAGCTTTAGCCCATTTCATAGCACCCGAAAGAAGCAAACGTGGGGAGAAAGAGGTGGGAGCCATGGCCGCATGGTATAATTGGGGTAGGCGATAGCTTGGAACACCCAGCGAAAACCCAAGTTGCAACTTTCGGTATACCCTGGGCGCCGCCCCGCCTAGGCATAGGCTATGGCAGGTTTTGTTCTGTACTTTTTAAGAGCGGTTCTTTGACCGTTCAACACCAATGAGAGGCAGACCCGTCAAGAGAAGATGCCTTTGATGCGTGCGGCTCCCTGATGCGTCGCAATCAAAGCTTCGTGCGATGGGGCGAACGGCGGACTTCTTTGGAACACGGGTGTTCGAAGGTTCTGGATTTGTGTCAATGTTTGGAACACAATTTGGTCAAATTTGTGTCATGTCAAGATGGTCCAATTGTATGAAGTGTGAAGTTCTTCAGAACAGTTCTGCTGGGATGAAGGGAACAACTTAGCTGCAAAGGCTTGCTGATCGCACTGTAGGCCCCTGACCTTGCCATGCATCGCCCCACGCTACTTGCTGGTGGTCAATGCGGAGAAGGCATGCAGATTTAGCAACCGGGCCATGACTGTTTTTGAGTGCATCGAGGTGCTGTGAATCTACTGGATTTGCTTGGTGAGGACCCAAGATGCCCGTTAGAGGGGGTTCGCCTGTGCTTGGCTGCCGCAGAAGAGGCCCGTTTGGTTGCATTTATGTTATCTTTGTTTCGCCTTCAAATACGAAAGCAACAATACAAACGCATGTTCATGACTTGGCGCTCCGACTTCGCTCTTCCGTCTCGTGCGACTCGTGCGTCGGATTTTTTAATCGACGAGCTCTGACCCGCACACGCGGCCGGCCGGTGACAGTGGACCGGATGGCCGGTGACCGGTTGGAACCGGTCGTCTCGAGTCTTAGAACCGCATTGAACCGCGGTGGACCACAAAAGCAGGTCGTCTCCATTAATTTTCCTTGGTGGAATCGTGTGGAATCCATTGCTGAGCACGTTTGATCTTGTTCAGAATCGGACAGGTTTTGTTCTATTTTCAGATATGCAAGCGGTGACAGGTTTGTTTTGCCTTTCAGGCATATCGTCAGCTAGCATCGGGTGATGAACGATTGGTCGTCTACATTCAGCAGGCGTGGCTGTAGGGTTGTGATTCCGGACATTTTTCTATACATACTTGAGAGTATATGAAATATGGTTCATACAAATCATACGAATCATATGACAAATACCCTACATAGGGTTATAGGGTTCATACAAGTCGTATGACAATTTGGGTACGCACGGCGTGAACGTGCAGGACGTGAAGCATGCAATGACAGCAAAGATGTGGGAACGAGTGGATTCATTCCTCTTCGTGCGGACCTTAAGATTGGATAAGAAACCTTGGCGGTTTGCTTCCCCAAAGTGAACCAAGGACAAAGCAACAAAAGAACCACATGTTCCATTGGGTGTGACAGTGTTTGATGTGTTCACGTCCAGATCTAGTAGTAACAAGGGCATTGCTACTAGTAACAAGGGCAACGCAAGTAGTATCAAGGGCACTACTAGTAGTAACATTCATTATATGTCGCTTTTAGAACCACAGCCGTTTGATGTTCTTATAAATACGGTTGCTTGCTGAGGCCACTCTCGGCAGCACCAACAAACGAAAGCTGTCGCAATTGTGAGGCGAGCAACCGGCACGAGCGGCTTGGCCCTGTGCGTGTCACCAGCGATCAATGGCGTCGCTATGCGTCGCTGTCTACATCGCTTTTCTTTTTTTCCGATCGCCATTGCTATTGCTTGAAGAAACGATCGACGTGGAGCGCCATGCGAGTCGCGATGATCGCCATCACCGAACAGTTCCATCGAATCTCAGTCGACGTATTGGTGTGTAGAATCAGTCTTCGGCAGTTTGCAGAAGAGTTGCAGAATGATGCGAGTCACGTTTTTCAGCTGCAAAGCTTCCACGTTTTGGAAAGATCAACTCGTTCGTGTGGAGAGGAAAGTGTATGGTAGATGTGCTGTAAGTTTTGAGTTCAGGTCACCTTGGAGAAAAACAGCTGTATGGCACACGCAATCTATCGGAATGACCATCAATTGAGCAGCTTCAAAAACCTCTATGATGAAAAGTATGCAAACTGTAATCTCACATTCTTTCGCGAAAGCCAAAACGCAGGTCGCGAAAGGTTCGCGAAAGCCCCGCGAAAGAACCCCAGAAGAACAGCGTGGCGAAAGCTTTCGCGAAAGTCGAATTTCTTGTGCATGTCGTGTTGTTTATGTGGGTGACCATATCTTTATGCAGGCAGCCGCAGCAGGCCAGCCAGCCAGCCAGCCAGCCAGCCAGCCGCAGCAGACCAGCCAGCAGCAGCAGCAGCAGCAGCACTGAAGAGCAAGTGTTTCAGGGGAAAATCGAAAAGCCCAGACGAATTTCCGCGAAAGCCGTGCGAAAGCCTCGCGAAAGAACCGCGAAAGTCGAAAATATCCGGGAAAGGTATCTGGCCCCAGCAAAAAGTTTCAGCAAGTTTTCCTCCTCTTCTCATGACAACAATAATACTTGAACGGTGCTGCTACAACTCCTTGTGCCAGGATGTTGCCGGAAAGAAATTTGTTTAGTTTTGACCACCCTAAGGATAACTTATATAGATCAATCACTTTATTGTACAATATCCCAATCGAATTTCCCAATCGAAAACGAATCGCCGCGAAAGCCGCCGCGAAAGCCCCACATAACACCACACCTTCCGCGAAAGCCAGAATGCAGACCGCGAAAGCTCCGCGAAAGCTCTGCGAAAGCAAACCTGGATTATACAAAAAAGTAATAGGGGTTTTCGAAGCTGCTCAATTGAAGAGAAGGTGTTGAATTCAGTTTTTTCGTTGTGTTTGTATAGTGTTTGTCCCTTCTTGAGCACCTCAAGGATGCACCAGGCAGGGCAGACCGACCATCAGGAAGGATAATGAAATTGCATGTGCTTCCTTCAAATAGACAGACTGGAAGGACTGCTCTCCTCCATTCTAATTGTGACGATTCAGATAGCGGCGATAAATTACGGCAAGATGCGAAATACATTTATATACAGTGAACATGGATACATGTGGCAATATTGAATTATATAGATTATATAGATTGAGAGTCATCATGAGCCAATTTAAAACAAGTGTATAGCGTGACACCACAACCTTTGCATGGCACGGATTTATCCGACTGTATTTTGCTGCAGCTGTAGCAGTGGCATTGATGGCATCAACAAGGGAGTTCAACAGGTGTTCTGCTTGCAACTGAAGGACTGAAGGATGCGCCACATCGTCCATCTCTACTGTTACTCTTTCAACAATTACTGTAGGTTAGATTGCATTTTAAGACGGTTGGTTTGCATTTAAAACGATCATCAATCAAGTGAGTTAAAGCCTTTTTCACGTGCAGTTCTTCCATGTTCTCGTATGTTCACTTCCGGTCACGATGGATCCTTGCCCCCCCATGGGCTGGCATAGCAGGCGGAGAATCTCGGTCGAAGGTAGGTCAACGGGCGTGGAAGGTGGGTGAAACAGGTTGATTTCTGCCTGAAGGACCAAACATGACGCACATCAAATAGAGGTCAAACAACTTTATACGATGTCTCTTCCTGAGTTTTGCACTCGATTGAGAGGCTGAGACCATGGTGAAAGATGCATGGCTCGGAACTCAGGTCTCCCGACTCGCTCGAGACGTCGGCAGGTGGACTGTGAGAAGCCGGGGGCGATTGAGATTCACCAAGGGTGGTGTTATGAATAACAAGGGGATCGCTACGAACGTAACAAGGGCATTACTAGTAGCAAGAAGCTACTAGTAACAAAGGCCATCGCTACTAGAAACAACATAGTTTGACTGTTACCTTCTCACCTACGCGGTAGGGGTCAAGACCTGGAAACTCTACTCCGGCCACTTTTCCACGGCATCTAGTCAGCCGTCGGAGGCAAAGAACCGGCCCAAAGGGTGGATTGCCAATTATTGGGTCACCTCCCAAAATGCATCAAAACAGATGTCCGGATGCTTGTCCTTCTGAGGCTCCATGTTGGACAACAGAGGTATATGATTTGAACCTGTTGCAAACCCAAAGGTTTTGATTTCACTGGGGGCCAAATATTTGAAGTTTGACGGAGACAAGGTTTGATCACAGTGGAGCATGTGATTCCGAGAGTGACAAGCACGGTGCCAAACAGAGGGTTCAACTATATAGACAAACGAAGTGCTCGTTTCTAAGCAGTGGTGAATTCTCATGTGCCGCCTGTACTGCCGCTCTGAGGGAAGTGGAAGGTCGCGACCCAGGTGGGAGAGGATGGAGGATGAGTTGTTTTGTTTGAAGTCTTCCACTGGCCTTTGAGGCAAAAACAGAGGTCAGGCAAGGTGCATAGCCAGCACCTAAAGTATCCGAGAACAAAGTTCACCGACAAAGAAACACACACACTGATGAGATGATCCCCGGTGAATGAGTGTCTATAACGGAAGGGTTCGCCGGGTATATGAGATGAATCTCTGTGCTTTTTCCGCCTTCTCAATGTGTACATAGCTTTGGCGTCCCAAAGCCATGAGGCTGTGCCACAACACCTTGCCCCTTACGTTGCCTTCCTACACCGCGCGCGAGCACTGAAGGTGTTGCTCGAGAGCTGAAATACTATTCTCGGAGCTATGGTGGGCCGTTGTCCCAGGTGATCCAAACAGATCGAAGTCGGAACCAGATCGAAGTCATTTTAACGCGGGGGGGTCCGTCAACCGCTCGAGATCGATCTTCGTCATTTTCAGCGGCTTCGTCCTCCGAATTGGACTGGTTCGTTGGCGAGTCGCTTTGTATACCCCTTCTGACCAGAAGCTAAAGCCTGATCAGGTCAGCGGACAGAGGATCAAGTCACATCAAGTCTGTACTTCTGACCCAGGTCTGAGCTTGTTCCACCTTGAGGATGTTTGATGAAGAAGCAGCCCAAAAAGTGTAGCATCATCTTCAGGTCTGATCAAGAAGCTGAAGAAGAAGCCCAAGAACAACGGCAGCGCATGCAAGTGCTGCACGAAGATGGTCGGGAAGCCTTGCTTTACGTCACGTGCATCCTGCAGCCTGCGTGAAGGTGTCAGGTGGGTTCAGTGAGTGAGCGAGAATGTGCACCGCGTGGTGTTACGTGGGTGAAGGTGGTGGTGTGGACGACGAACTGTAAGATTTATTGAATCAAGTCAGCAAGAGCAGTTCAAGTTAGGGTCATGAACATGATATGAACATGTTCAGAGCTCCAGGCGAATTGCTGAAAAGGCCCAGCTTATTCAAGGATTCTTCTTTTCTTCTATTTTTTCCCTAGCATCATCTAGCATCTTCAAAGTGATACATCAGCAGGAATGTGAGGAAGAGCAAAAGGCCACTACAACCCCCTAACACCCGTAAGCCATATCTCCCTACGCTCACGCCTGAATCAGAAGAATTCAGAAACAAGAAGTTGACATCACGCTGCTGTTGTTGCTGCCGTTTTTGTTGGAGGAAGCAGTTCATTGACACCCGACCCCACCACCCAACGCTTGTTGCTTGCGGCTTATTATTGTTCTGAGATTGGATCTTAATTAAGGGAGAAAGTAAAGGCAGACTGCGAAACATTGGACAAGTCTCGGGTCAGAGAGAAGAACTGCACTCATGTTTCATTGACGCAATCGGCATACTTCTTTCTTTTCAGTATACCAAACATGAACATGCCGCATATTCGGTGACTTGCTTTAGGTTTGGTGATAATAAGACCAGTGGGAGATTGACTCTCCGTATGGTCCCGGATTATGTTTGGGGGGTCCAAATAATAACTGTTCAGCAGGTGGCAGTTTGTCAGACTGAGGTTTTCCATTGAAATTGAAGTTCGAAAAGAAGAATTTGGTTTCTGGTATGCTGATGGGTAAATGCAGGCCAGGCGCTCAATTGGATTTCTTTGGCGTTTGAGCGCACTTCTTGAACAATAAGTGAGTTGGTGAGTTGAATCAATGTCTTTCTTTGGCTTCCTCTCGCAAGGCGAAGCCCCATGACAGGTGAAATCGTTCTGCCAGGGACTTGGTGAAGTCGTTGGTGATTTTTTGGCAGGAAGAAACTGAACGATTGCCATTTGGCAGAGCTTAAATGATTTGGTTCCATTTGGCAGAGCGGTCTCATCTTTCATGTTTTTTGGATCTTCGACTCTTGGAGGTTAGAACAGTTCAAACTCGCTTTTTTGACTTGATTTTACTGGTACAATAATCTTGTACATTACATAGACAGATGTTCGAGATGCGCAAGCTTTTGTGGCATACAAAGGCCAGGGCCAGGGTAGACCCAACATGTGCGGCATACATCGAAATGACTTTGAGTTCGACGAAAGCAATGCAGACCGCGCATGCTTGTTCGGGTCGTGGCTGACCACGCGGATTGGGGAAGAACACGTTCACCTCTCGGCCACCGATTTGGGAGGGTCAGCTCATGTGCCAAACATGTAGTGTGCCAATCAGTTCAAACCACTACTGTGTGTTCATAGTTCATGTCCCAAACAGTTCGTTCTATGTCCCAGACCCCCGAAAAGGGTTCTTTGATGTTCTTTGTGTATGTGTGTGCGTGGCGGATTGCTCCAATCGGTCTTCATTGGCTTAGGATCATGGGATGCATCATCGGAACGTTTTTGGACACGGTTCTAATTATAAGATGTTCTAAGTACGGCTATCGGATGCTATCATTAGCAACCCAGGGATTCAATCCTCGTTGATAGCGATGACGAAAAAATAATGGAACACAATATGTAACAGCTGTGATGTAGATGCAGGCCTCCTCAGAGTGCAGCACTGCTCTTTTGCACAAGTCTATTGACACCTTCTAGGCATCGCATCTGAACCCAAGCCATTTGCATTTTTCCAAGGCTTTGGGTGTGCCAGTGGATGCTCATGTTGTTTCAACTGCCAACTTCACATCTATATATTTTTTGTTCGCAAGTTCCATCCACTGACACGTTTTGTGACGGGCTCAGCTGCCAGCGGGAAGCCGCTCAGGGAGAAAGCGCCAAGCTTTCCAAATTTCCAGGCGAGGAGAGACAGTCAGGTCATGGCATGGCCAGTCGGATAGGGATATTTTCCTGAGTCAATTCCTCCACAGAGATAGAAACAAACGATTCCCCTGAAACTTCAAAACTGCATCTCCAGCCCTTTTCCAAGGCTATTCCAATGCCTTTTGAGCACATCCTCCCATGAGAATCGACGCTCCTTCTACCAAGCCCTTGAACGCTCGGTCCACCATCCACCGTCCCCACCGGCGCTGATTTCACCAGGTGGTGGACCTGGCGGGCCGTGAGCTGCTTCCCAGAAGTCGGTTCGGAGACCTGGACGGACCGGTGATCGGAGCACTGGCAGGTTTGCGGCGACCGGTGACCAGTAACAAGTGCATGTTCGTTGGCACCTCCCAGAATTCCAAGAATTCTGTGTAATTACTTTGGTGGTTGTTGTTGGCCAATCCATTTGGAACATTTTGGTTAGAACGGAAAAGAAGAACCGTCCAAGCACCACCCTTTCGTCCCCCAAACCCACCACCACCACCACCACCACGACCACCACCACCACCACCACCACCACCCCTAAAAGAGCTCTTGAAATAAAACATCTTCGATCGACGCAAGAGATCTCTCGACACAGGCACCTTTTGGAGGAAGATATCTACCTCTTCAAGCCGATCCCACTCATGTGCCATTCTACGTCGATCTTTTTCTCCATTGGTCGTTGTCAATCTGACCGATGGATTCATATGGATTTGAAGTTGGCAAATGCTTGCTGGCCCATCAATTGTGTACTTCCGTGTATATATGTTTAATTTGATTGTTCTTTTTGTTTCTTTTACCAGGCTCATTATCCCAATCTACTTGAACGTGGCTTGGTTCCAAACATTGCCAAACAAATGTTCGACAGTTATTTTAGGGGTGCATGTTGCGGCAGCTGAGAATGAATACCAGCCCCACAGACTTGCCCTTCTGGGTCCACATGTGCCCACAGGTACAGAACCTGGTTGTACCAGCGCTATTTTCTGAAGCCTGAAGGATTCGGAAGCCACTCTCCATGCTTACATTTGCAAAAGAAATGAAGACAATAAGTCAGTAAAGATTAAGATGTCTCTTCATTTCCTCACAAGTCAAGTGTTCTTTATTGCATTGCCCTTATGCCAGGGGGCCGTGACATGGACTACATCGTTCGACAGGCATCTTTGCGAATTGGGGCATGCACTTCGTGTTAGCACACATTAACATGTGCCATCATCGATACTGAGCATATGAAATCATATGAAGAAGTTTTCTCACCAAATCATTAAATCAGACACGTCAGGGTCAAACCCGCTGGCGACATTCTTGTGGTTCGAAACAAGAAGCATTTGTCCAAACTCAGGGCAGTTCAAGATGGGTTTGTCTCAAAATGAACCAACCCTACAAAGCCCATTGGTGAAACAGATGTTCCAACAGTTTCTTCCCACCTGGATCCTGAGAATCTCCATTGCATGAAACCCCATCTCCACCTGGGTCCATGAAAATCACAGACGCGGCGATAATCTTTGAAGTATAGTAAGATATACAGTATAATATAGTATCAAAACATAGTGATATTATAAGTAGTAACATATGATCATGTATGTCTAGTATCAAAAGGACAACAACAGATGTATTCCGAGTGCGATGAGGTATGTTGGTGAACACCTTTTTCGAGTGACCGGGGCCTCCAAGCCACCGCTGGTGTCATCTCCATCGATGATGAAACGGGATGCAATGTGAGTGTGAGTGAGTGAGAGTGAGGCTTTGGGATGCTTCTGCTTGGATCTCCTGTCCATGCCTTGGTGGGACAAGCAACAAAGCATGATGTACCTATTTGTACTATTTTGCATGCAAGACCATGTCCTTTTCCCTACTTGGATCTTGCACCAAACAAGCCTACATCCTTGCGTGGGAGTCGACAAGGAGCCAAAATTCTTGTGTTTGACTCATGGGTCTACGAAGTCTACACTTACCAAGTCTGCATCCAGGACACCAATCTCTGCAAAGGGATGAGACACCAATTTTGTGGACCTGGCAGGCCTCAAAATGCAGCCCGTTTGGGGCGGCCTTACATTGCTTTAAGTTCTATGGATTGGTCAAACGGGTTCAGCCGCAAACACCGGAGCACATGCAAACCGGTTCTTGGCCCGCTGAGGATGTGGGATGGCAGATGGTCACCCGTCATGATGTATGTCGCAGCCTTTCCGGAGCGGAGTGTTCATTGCATTTTTTAAAGGCAACTTTCTCAGTGCAAGTGTGAAAATCGAACTTGTCAATTCGCTGAAATTTGCTTGATGTGAAAAACACGAAGCTTAGTTGAAGTACCGCACAGTTCCTTAAGCCCTTTGCTATTTCACAACTGAAGCCACTCAGTCAATCATCGGGTGATCTCAGGGGTCGCCACTTTGCCTAGCGGACGTCTCATCAAGTCGTCAGACATATCTAGATGGACGTATTTGCACTTAAATATACTTATACTATTGGAGCCCGTGTATGATATGTGGATTTCTGAGAGATTCTCCCAAGGCCTTCATCATGTTCCTCTCGGCTCTGACTTGCAGCAGCCTGATCGCAAGCCACTCAGACCTTCTGACAGATCGAGGACAGCAGGATAACTCTTTGAAAAGGAAGAGTAAGAAAGACACACTTGTATTTGAGTTCCAATCCTTTGCGTGCTAAAAACAAGATTGACTGATCCAATGCAATTCCTGCTCCAATGCAATTTTGCGAAGCTTTCCTTTGCTTTTGTCTCACGCTTCGCCAGATCACCTCTGCCTGTGGGGCTGGCCTGGTCTCTTGCGCGATCTCCGTGCTCTCCAACAGCCCCAAGGCCCTGTGGAGCTCGCGGGCCGAGAGCTCGCAGCGGGGTGAGCCGAGACAAGAGCTCGCAGCGAGAAACAAGAAGCTAGCAGGTTGGAGGCCATCGCTATTAACTTGGAGGCCATTAATTGCTACTAAGTAGCTAGAAGCTACTAGTAACAAGGGGGTAGAATTTTGGCCGACGGAAGGAAAAACATGTGTGTTGAAGTTGAATTGATGTTGAGCTTTGAAGGTGTGAGGTGTGAGTTTCGGGAGTGTGACACTTCTAGGAAGACGTTCTGACCTTTTCAGTTTTGAGAACCATCACAAGAAAAGACTTGCACTACCGTGGACATCCGTAACTCCTAGTGACCCCAGGCTCAGGGATTGTTTTCCGTGTGACCTTCTAGACTGTGGCAGAGGTGTACAGACTGGAGCGCTGGCTATCATTGTGCAGACCCCAGCGATAGACCTGCTTGTTAAATCAGGACAGCTATGGAAGCGTTTGTGAATCATCAGTCCGCTGGCAAAGTTCCCGAACCTTTGCACCGAATGGAAATACAACACAGCTGCGCCATATACACTCTAAGGGTCAACACCGGATCAATAAACGGCCCCCCCGCCTCTCCTTCGAGGTCGACAAGGTCAACAGGGTTTGAGATTGGAGGTTAAAGGTGATGACCACATCCCCTTATTTAATTATTAAAGGTCATGACCTGAGATGGATAATGGTTGATCGGATGACCTGTGTGAACACGGACGAGGCCTGTGAGAGGGGTACGTCATTTAGTGAGCTTGAACACGTACAGATGTTGATAGAGTTTTAATAAGGGAAAACAAACGAATTTTGCCAGAGAGGTTTTTAGGGATTAGGGATTGTGGAGCAAAGATTGCTGGGGAGAACATTCGCAGCTTGGATTGCAGCTTTAAACAAAATATAATATAGTAGAATACTATACTAATGATTCATTTGAACTTTTTCTGGGGCAGCTGGGCTTGATTAATAGGGGGAGGTTTCTGCCAAGAAAGAACAATTAGGGTGATGGAAATGTGGAATTCATGTATTAAATTATTTTAGTACTGGGGGCTCGAGCTGGGCTTGATTAATACAGTGGTTACTTAATCCGATCCTGTGTCAAGATCAAAAACATCAAAAACTGATCAGGACCAGGCTGAGGTTTGACACAGCTGGTTTGCAACACTTGAGCTTTGAAAGAACGTGAAGTTCATGCAACTTTCCAAATTCGGGTCAACGCGAACGATTGACACTGAAAACTCTGATTACCCGGACCTGGAAACTTTCGTTCGTGGTGCGAACGATTTTGACCCGTCTTCAGTGGCTACGAGCTTTGGAGAAAGTCCTTGGACAAACTTACCTGACCACCTCTCTTTGGAGATCCGCCTCTTTATTCCGCACGTACCGCCAGGTCGATCCCCTCACCTCCGAACCGGTCGATCCGCCTTTGGTCGAACCGGTCGGGTCCTGGTCGGCGCGTTCGTCGGAGGCCCTTTCGCTTCGCCTTCTTCGTGTACATCTTCATCGTGTTCCCGACCGAGAGCACCTTGGAGGCCGAGAGCGAGCACCGCAGCCGAGCACCGTGCAATGCGGCGTGCATGTCGGGGTACAACATGTGAACGTATGAAAGACCAAAGACACAAATGCATGTACTATGATGTCAAGACAGATTGACTTGAGGTTTGTGACGAAAACCTATCTCCAGTCTTGATAGTCTGAGAAAGTGTGACTCGTCGATGGTGTAAACACCGAAATAGAAGGGTCAGCAACTCTAGTTCCATTTCTGAGGTTCAGTTCGACCCATACTGCGAGCTTAAATGCAAAAAGACCAAATTATTGTTTCAACATCGCTTCCGGTCAGCTGGAATAACACTGGTTCTGTTTTGACCGGGTGTGCCTTATTGCACCCAAAGAGACATGAACAGTCACAGGATGATGTTGGATTCAACAATCACAAAAACGAGCTAGTTAATCAGCCAACCAACCCACTCACTCAACTAACTAAGATAAAGCGCTACAGCTGAACAATATGGTGCAACTGCGCTGTAGAACATGGGCCAGAAGACCCCCTGGCCGAAAAAGGCCTTTACTTGTGAGCCAACTACCACATGGGCCTGGACATGTTCATTGAATGTATCCCACCTCATTCGGCTTCGGAAAGGTCGCGGGCACGATCTTGGTGATCTTGCTGGCCAGGAGCTAAGTGCGAAGAGCAAAGAGAGATCCAGACTGAGGTCAATGGCATGTCATGGTGCGTCCAAGGGCAAATTAATAACAAGTTCATCCAAAGATCTACAACAGGTGCTTGTATTTGGCTGAACACAGGCTGATTGCGTAGGGCAACTATATAGTTCATAGAACCTCCCATCAAACATCTGTACTGGTCAGCCGCATCCCATCGACCCAGTGTGGGCCTTTCTCAATGGACTTCAGGTGCTCCTGGAGTTCTGGGCAGGCGATTGCAGCTTCTTCTCCACCTACAGGCCTCGTTTTTAAAGTAGACGTGCAATTCGGCAGACGTTCCACTAGTGTTATATATTTTGGTGTGTTGCTGATTTGAATGTCGCAGACTAACTGACTTCCGAAGCACTTTCAGTTGGGACACCTAGAATCTAGAAGAGAATCTAGAAGATACAACCAACTACTGTAGAATGTAGAAGATTCACATACTCCAACGAAAAGAACCTAAAGCCAGACTCCTGGAAGACTAGCGTAGCTTGTAGCCGGCATTTCAGCTTCCAACCTTAAATCTTGTGGACGATCTGAAAACAGGAGCTGTTCCGAGTCTAAAGCATTGGATCAGTTCTCAAGCAGCCAGCTAGTTGCAGCCAGCTGCGGCTTGCGACTGAAGGTTTCACTGTAGCTACAAATTGATCCGATGCGTTGGTGGCCGGGTCTTTGTGGCTTCCTCAGTGCGTGCTTCGTGGCAACTCGTGCTTCGTGGCATGACGAGTTTTTTCACATGATTCTCTTCGTTCCTGTTTTGCTTGCTTGTTCTAATCGTTGACAGGGACAGGTCCTGTGGATTCTTGCAGAAGCTTTGGATCATGTTTCTTTACCAGATAGAGATTTCGGGAGACCGAGAAACAGGGAAGCAGAGATAACAGAATCTGATATTGGATAATCTTAACTAGATCATAACTATCACTGTCCTCAAACTCATCAGCCAAAAAGGGCAGGTGCCCACTCTTCCTACCTAACCAATACGACCGCCATACGACTCTGCCGACTCTTCCCGGGCGAGGTGTGTGAACGTGAAGGAGCCGAGGGCTTGAACAGTCAGCTGGGCCGCGAGCCGGATCGCGCCTGGGATGCAGCGGATCCGGTGAGGATGAGGGTGATTGGGCTTGTATGAGCGTGGTATGTATTCAATAATTTTCAATTTTGAAACAGCAATATCAGGCAAAGAGTTCAAAGAATGCCATTGAAACCAGGATTTATAAAAGGATTATAAAGGCCGATGACATCCAACGGATCACCAACAAGTGCTTTTTGTATTGTTTTGTATTGATCAGCTGGGAAGTAAAGCTCTTGGTGTTATAGATTCACGCAGGGACGCAGTTTCGTGGCTGCCGGGTGGTATCACTGAGTTTGATTGTTGCGTGCTGTGTTGCACGCTCCTTTTTGAGGTGTGAGACGGTGTGAGAGGTGGCAGAATGTGAAGCACTATCCAGGGGCTATCCAAAGCAACAAATGAGTCATGCCGGAATCTATTGATCCCTGGTCCCTTATCAAATCATACAAACAAAACAACCACATATAGACTGCGTTCCTGTGTATTCCCCAAGCGTTCAGCCATCCAGGATCATCCAGGCATGTGCCTCCGTGATGTCTCCGACAGTTGGATCCAAGGAGTGGCTCCGGAAATCTCAAAGCTTCCCAAGTGGACAGCGCAGCTGGCTCTGGCGTTGGGAGGGGCGTTTGGGGATGGGATCTAGAATGGGATGTGGAGCTTCTGTGGGTGGAGAGTCGGAGAGCCAGAGTTGCTGGGTGAGTTCGATTGTGCTTCCAGATCGTCTTCCAGGCTTTGACGTGAAATGATTTCAGCTCCTTGTCCTGAGGCTAAATCATTTAATTGCAGAGATGGAAGGCTTAATGGTGGCAACTCTGGCTTGCTTTCAGCCGGTGGCGGGTCAACCGCGCGAATGGTTCGTGCTGAGAAACGACAGGAACTGCGGCCAATGACAGCAGAAGACTGGAGTGCTGCGGCACAGGCGCGGCGCCCGTGACTTTCCATGACTGTCCTCATCTTTGTTTGTTTTTCCGCTGGCAAGGAACATTGAGCCTTTCTTTCATTTGTGCGTGAGCTATTATTGTGTGTTTAGTAGGTAGTAGCTTTATAAGTAGCGCTATGAGCGAACAAATTTGTCCCTTGATTAAGTGGGTGCCTACTTAATTGAGCAATATGAAACAAGTGCGGGCAACATAAAAAGAACTTGAACTCACTGTTGATCACGTGCAAAAAACCTGTGTCTTCTCATGTGCGTTTTGCCGATGTTTCGAACAAGAACAGTCGATGCAGCTGCAGGATTACAAAAAGAACTTGACAACGGTGTCTTTTGTCAGTGACTGCCCTAATGAGAATTGGAGCTGGGGCGGAATGGGTGACACCCTAATAGGAGTGCAGCGATGCATACCTCATGGCAATACTGTGACTACTGTGCCGTACTGTGACTTTGTGCTACAACTCGCAGTTTCTTGCTGTTTGACACTTCCCAATGCACCGCTTTGTGTGACGCACTTCTGGTTTTGACCGGCGCCACCCCCTCCGGGCTGAGGCTTACCAGTCTTCGAGTACGAAGGGCCAACCCTCAAGGCTGGCGTTGTTTTCTGCTGAAGGGCCAACCGTTGTCCAACCATGACATGACATGTAAAGCCTGGTGCAAATTATTTGATGCTGGTGGACACTTTGCTGTCCAGGACGAAGACTTTGATGAGAACCAGGCTTGGCAAAGTGACACCTTGCATGCACCCTCACATGTCAGTGCCTTTCCAACATGTTCAACCTTTGACCGCACAGGATCACATACCAGACAAGATGGCTAGAGGTGCAGTGTGCTGGCCTTAGTTCGTGTCGATGCGACAAAGGCCGGCATGCTCCGAGGACAGACGTAATAAGTTTCACTCACCCCTAGAGGCCCCTGTCGAGGTGTGTCGCTCTTCGCTCGACTCTTCATATTCGACTCCCGCCCTACTCCGCTGGAGGGAGGGTCGCCGGCTGGCTCGGAGAAAGACTCTTGTTCGTGTCAAGGAGAGGCACCCAGTTCCTCGAGACGCTGCAGAATTTCAGACAAGCTCGTGTGCAACTCAGTGGTGCATGAGAGCCATTTAGCTCAGGAACCTGATCACGTTGAGGGACGATGGGGCTGTTTGAGATCCTCAGCCAATGCCTAGAGCCCCTCCATCACCTTTTTCAACGTAGGTACAGGGTTTGGATCTACAGCTATCATACTTTCCTGGATATCCTAAGAGAGACCTGCCAGCAGACGTTCCTTTCGGAGTATGCTTTCGTACGGGCATTCCATCCGACTGTTGTAGCTGTGGATATTTGTTGAGTGCACAGCTGCCATCAGATGCAAGGTGAAATCTACGGCGGCCATCAGCAATTGGACTGGATGATTGAAGATCTCGACTTCAGTGGAGATTGACCGCGTATGACACTACCGACACTAGGTTTCCTCGTGATCCGATGTGCAACACACAAGAAGGAAAGACCTACGGTCACTGCACTTTGTGTCAGTTTGTGGTCATTAGCTTGCCTTAGTTGTGAATTGTTCTCTATGTACCGGGATGTTAGCAGTGAGTCAAGCAAACGAAAGCTTCCCACTGTGACGAATACACGGGCCTTGTAGTCATCCAGCTAAGCTGGGAATTCACAAGACCTGCATGTATCGTTTCACCTGAAAAATGGCATCCAGTGGCAGCTGAATGAGACTGACTCTGAATGGCTTTCCCCCTCCGCTGACTTCGCAATGACCCATCCGTTTGCATGTTTCTTCCGCAGCCTTTATTGGCCAGCTAAGAACCCATTGAATTGCCAGGCAATCGCACGACACTGCAGTGCACCGTTGTGACAAAGTAGCTACTGTTCATCCGCAGCAACACTTGCGATTGCAATTCTACAGTAATTCTACTTTGATACCGTACCAGCGGTATTGGATGGCATCTCAGCCATGTTCACAGAACTGGCCACAGCCATAGGCCATGCAGCCGCACATCTGCCCGCATCCCAGAGGATGCTCTTGGACTTTTGATGCCTTTGGGCTTGTTTGCAGCTTGGGAAGTCCATTCTTCCAGAGACATAGGGCTGATCCAATCACTTGATCCTTGAAGCTGCTTTGAGGGAGAGGATCTGCAGCTTCTCGGTCAGTTGTTGTTCTTTCCTCTGGCTGGCATTGGGCACAGAGACAGGATACTTCTGAGGTTTTCCTGGCTGCCTGGTGCAGCAGGCCGGGGGAGAGGGGTACTTGGAAAGGTTGTTTGAGTCCGATCTTGCTTTTCCCATTGCTGCCTGGCATGGTATTTGGATGCATTTTGTTTGGTGGGTCCCTCTTATTTGGTTGATTTGTTCCTTTTGCAAGCAACTTTTTTGTGCCCCCAGATCTCGAGTTGCCACAATTGCCGCCACATGTTTGGAGCTTTAGATCGGCCGCTTCACGGCTGCTTGATAAATATTTTGAGCTTTGAACTCTGACCATTGCTACTAAGTGTGATCATATTCACCAAAAGAACTCATGCGCTGGCTTACAGGGCTTCAGCATTGTCAGACTGGCCATATTCACAAGTTCCATCTCTGACGTAGTGTGGGGGCAGTTTGCCAGGTCATGATCCCATCTGGACATTTGCATATGGTGCAAATATGGGAAGTGTCCTGGGCCCAGAATCGGGTCGAGCCGTGGCCTGGCCTGAGCGGATTGGCCCTTTTTCAAGCGGATCTGAGTTCTTGTGAGGCCAAACTTCACGCACTGGGAGTGCATCCAACCGAAACCTTGAAGGGAGTTCTACCTCACCATGAACTGATTTTTGATAGGCGGGAAGGGTATGGAAGGGTGGCATTGTCATTGTTTGGCGATGGGTTTCCTTAGTTTGCATGTTTCGTCACCGTTCACCTGAATGGATACTTCGTGACTTCACTAGATTTGGGCGTTCGCTTGCAAGATGATGTGAGCCTCACGTGACGAACAATTACTACTCAACCCATGCCACCTGAGATGAGCAAAAATGCTTTGTCATAAAGTGTCCGCCGATATGCTTGGTCACAGCCAACAAGATGAAACACCTATACTGGTACCGGGCTTTGAGTGGCTAGCAAAAGATCAACACCAGGACCGCTTTTTTGTGTGTCGTCGACCCGCTTGGTGTGTTCTGTTCGCGCTTGGTGTGTTCTGTTCGCGCCAACACACGCGATCCAACGCGCCAGTTCCTTGCGAGATGGACCGGCAGAGCCATCCTTTGCCGACGTCCCAGATGGACCGACACGGACGAGTCGTGTCCCGGACGGTTTTCCACGTGTGGATCCTTTCGTCTTCGTCGCCGAGGCGAACATCAGGCACACAGAGGATCCTTTCTACGCCTTCTCTGTGTCCGGGTCTCACATCTTGGTCGCGAGCGGAGTCCATCGTTTGCTCAGCAAAGATTGCACCTGGATATTTCTATCATAGTATCTATCATGTATTGCTGTACCGTTCTTGTTTGATCATGTATGGCATCTTCTCTTTGAGGTCACCGGTTCAAGGTGTGGTGCATCACATCAATCAAGCCGAGCTGGCCAAGTTGGACGTGTCGGAGGGTCCGCTCTACCACCGCGTGCAGATGAAGCTCGATTCGCAACGGGGGACGGGACGGTGCTGGGACCGGTCATGGTGTTAGCAATGGTGGTGACGCAACGGTCGTTGTATGCGCAACTCAAGGGGCGTTGTATGCGACGGCACCCTTTTCAAGAGGTGCCAAGGAGTTAGGAGTTCCCGGAGTTTTTCCACATAGTCCCTTTGACTCCTTATTATGCTTCTGGATATTTTGGCGTACTACATGCGACGGCAGCTACAGATCATTTGAGATGAACATAGTAACATAATAGATGAACATGATATTGAAGCCTTGGGCTTCATGAAGCCAGTAAAGCGGATTTGCACTTGGCTGCTGCTTGGTGCAAGTGTGCTTTGGTCTTTTTGTATAGTATTGTCGGCAAACATGTCAGTCTCGTTCCTATGTTTTCTCCAGTCTCTGCTCCGTGTAAAGACCAAAGACCTGAAGCACCCACAGCCGGTCCAATGGGAAATGGCGAATGGCTAGTCGTATGAGCGAGAAGCAGAGCCGGCAGATCACCCGAACCAAAGCATGGAGGTTGAGATCCATTTGAGACCCTCGAAAAGAAGGAATTTGCACCACTTTATATCTTGTTTCACAATGTTTCACAAGTTGATGAGGAGATAGTGCAATAGTGGTGAGCGAGCGAAAGACAAAGGTTGATCTGAGCACAAGCCTGGGGCTATAAGAAGTACAGGCACATATAGGATCAGATAGGCACCGGGCGGTAAAGTTTGCTTCGTTGGATTGTTGGAACTGAGTTTGGCCAGATGGCTAATTGAGGCCAGTGCGTGTCAATCTACCGCATGGACAAGACAAGGTGGGCCGTCCGGACACATATCTGGAGGGCGGATCCATTCGTCACCAACACCAAACCACAAGAAAGAGTTTCATGACATTGTCACTAACAGGGTCCATTCTTGGTGTCCATTCTTGGTTTGATGCCAGGACAGCACCTTCTTAAACAGTTTACGCCTCTCGTTCTAGACGTGTTGGCGAATGGAATTTGATCGGGCATGTGTTCAACAGCAATCCTCATTTGAAGTGCATTCAGATCCAAACAACATAGACAAGTATTCTGTTGCTAGCAAAATCGCAAAAGCAAAGCAGCCATGCTGGGCCATGCTCGACCTGAAGCAAGGAGAAGCTTTACATGCACAGTAAATTGCGTTCAATCTCACCAACATGGTCAGTAAGTTGTTCTCCTTTGTGAATCTTGCCTTCGGAATACATGTTTCCAGAGCATCCTTGTAAAACAGGGTTATAGTTTGTTTTTTCTGTTTAGTGAATCAACCCACCCACGTCACAAAACCACGTCACCCACGGTCACGTCTTGGCGAAACGTCTTGGCGTAAGTCGTCTTTGGATGCCTCACTCCACGCCAGTTGATGGCCTGGACCTATGTCGGTCACGATTCCGATCTGGGGCCGACAGTTCCGGGCCAGGCCGTTGGGCCCAAGCGACCGGCGGGGACTGGTTCGTTTGAAAAAGGCAGAGACGGGACAAGCAGTCTAAGCCGGCAGTCTAAGCTGGATCGATCCCTTTTTGAGCTTGCCACAGGTGGTCACAGGTGCAGATTTCTTGAATCCAGCCTCCAGATGTGTTGTCTTTGCATCTTGAAAATGACACTCCCCTATAGGAATACAATCGGATGTGTCAGATAAGTCTATATATAGATGAACAGCTGCTCAGGACTCAAGTCATGGAGGGCAGATTCCAATCGGAAGAGCTCTCCAAGGACTTGAAGATTCTGACGCCTTATTGTTGAACATTGAACATGAATCATTTGGGATAGTTTGTCTTCTGAAAGTGTTCGAACGGTTGAACGGTTCGTTCCTAGCATCTCGCTCTCGCTCTCACGGTGTGTCAGTGGTCCAGGATGTGAGCGCTATGGGCAGTTGATTCATTTGATCCACTGTATGTTGATGTTGCATGCTTTTGAGATCTTTTGAGATTTTTTAGAGGACTAAGCATGAGTAGACTACTTGGGAGAATAGTTTCTCCTACTCCTACGATTGGAGAATAGTTTCTCCTACTCCTACGATTGAGTCACGCTAGATTCAAAAGGGAGACCTTTAGCAAGCAGCATGAGCCATGGTCACCTCGTATTCCATATCGATGTGAAGAACGGTGCAACCGTCCTTGTTAGTGTGGGCTCCTCACTGGAAGTGGCTGATTTGGAGCTTGAAGAGCTTCATCAAGCTGCCGAGATTCGGCAGCATACGCCAGATGTCCAAAGGCTTTTCGATCAGCATGGCTTCTCGTTGAATTCGCTGGGCCGTGAGCTGAAGAATGCGCTGGAACGTGCTGCACCTCAAGGATCCGAAGCCTTTGAAAAGCTGCGACGGCTTTGGAGAAAGACCAAGAAGAAGCTTGCAATTCTTGAAGCAAGCACTCCCACCAGGGCGGGTCCACGAGCTTTTGTCGATCAAGTTGGCAGCAATGCGGCCTTGGTGTCGTGGGAAGTCTTGGAACATTTGACCGAAGGTTTCTGGCCAGCCAAATCGGACTGGTGTACTGATGTGTACTGTAAGGTTTATATCTGCAGTTGGTTTCTCTCCTCAGAGGTCATGCCAAATCCAAGACACCCACATGACATGTCCTTCTTTTGGTGCGAAGGAGACACCCCAGACATCCCAATCACATCCCAGACACCTGCCGTCACCAGCCGTCACCGGCCGTTCCCGAGGTTTCTTTGAAGTGGTCCTCTTGGGCTATCAGGAACGCACGGAACGGACCTCGGTGACCCGCTCGGTGCCACGCACCTCGAGTCCGCGCGTGGCCAAGCTGGGGATGTTTCGGGTAGAAGGAGGCCATACAGCTCGAAGCTATCGACTGGGTAAGCTTCAAGCGCTTCGGTGGTATCGCGTGAGGGTACGAAGCGTGGGGCCTCGAAAAGGATGGATCTCTGAGTGGAGCAACGAAGTGGCCTTTAGAACCATGAGTTTATCTGCAGCCCGGGATTCTGGACTTTTGGTCAACTCAAGCAACTTCCTGGTGAAGTCGGAGCGGTTGTTGCGCCACTGCGTTGATGACAGCACTATCTTGGAAGCAACTGCGGAGGAGAGGAACAAAATCCAAGTTGTCAGAGACATTCTGGGAGCTTCCGGTGCTCAGACGAGTGCTTCGGCTACAAGCAACCTCTTGGGTGCACGCTATGGTCAGAAAGGTTGGCCGGATTTCGTGAAGAATGGATCTCGATTCTCTCGTCCAGCCAACCAGCGTGAGCAACGCATGAGGCGTGTCCGCTTGGCCGTTGCTGCGATTGAGCTGTATGGACCAAACTATCCACTGCAGAACGCCTGGTGTCAAGGTCCATTTTGCTATGAAGAGCCTGGAATGAAACACATGTCGAAGTTCTCTGAGCAGGAAACTACACGGCTATGAGATAGATGAGTTTTTTCTGTAGTTTTTTAGAAAGCGGATAGCAGTGCACTTGCAGAGCCATTGAATCCGTCGAATTCATGTTCCGCTTACTCCGAAATGCAGAGAAAGAGAGAGAGAGAGAGAGGGAGGAAGAGGCTTCCCTATGGCTTGTGAAGCATCGATTTGGTGGCATCTTTGCCAATCTTGAGCGTTTATCGAATGAACAGCAATGAAAGAGCCCAGATGGGCCCAAATTAGACATGATGTTGAACAGACAGTATACACAGTACATCACAGTACATGTCACCGAATATGGTGTCTTGAACAGGTAGGACCTGCCTAGAGGTTAGGAATGGCCGGAGGGGTTCGGATTTCGCGCTGCTTGCATGCAGGACCCCCAAGTGAGCGGTATGCAGAGTTGGTTGTATGTGGTGCCAAGGACTACTTCGTGGTGATTCGCCGCATTGAGCATTGAAGGAAACTTTAAGGAAACACCAGTAAATGGTTCTACTGTAATTCATACTATAGTAACAAGTGCATCGCTACTGCATCGCTAGTAGAAGCAAAACTAAAATGGTTCATCTCAAGTCTTTCTTCTTTCATGGAGGCTCACACGCCAGTTTCTGCCCCGCTGGACTGAATTTTGATCATCAACTTCAGCATGGCATTGTTGCGCGTTTTGCACCGTGTTCAACCTGCAAAAAAGACCCGACATTGGTCTCACTTGGAAAGCCACCTTGCCTTCTGCCTCTAATGTGAGTCAGGAGCAGCATCTCCCGGCATCCTACCTCGCTCGCCTGGAGCGGCACCTGGAGATGTTGGGCCTGGCCAAAAGCCGCTCGGCGGTTCGTGTTAGGCCACGGAGAGCACGGGGGACGACCCAAACAGCGGTGAGACCGTGGATCGAGGGACACACAGCAGAAGGTCCAGCAGAAGGTCCATGATGTGTACTATCTGGTACTATGTGGTACGTTTTCCATGTGGTATATAATTACTCATCCGTCGGCAGTCTGACTTGGTCAAAAGGTGGGAGGGGAACCTGAGGTCTCATATTCTCATGCGAGGCATTGTCAGCTTTGGCCAACTTGGCTTCCAAGCCGCGCGGGACGCACGCAACGTCGTGCCCGGCCGGGCGGGGTCTGGGACATGGCGATGCGCATTCCGGTGCGGCACATGAGCGGTAAAGTGACGGTGGTGGAAGTGAGCCCAGACACGACTATTGGGAAGCTGAAGATGCAGATGAGAGCATGGTTGCCGTGTGAAGATGAGCTGCGCGGAATGTCCACACTGGAATTGTCTTTAGGGGAGACAAGGTTGACCAGCAATGACCAGACCATCCACGAGGCAGGCATATCTGAAAATACCGCATTGCAGGTGCTGTTTAGCATCCATCCGACTCATCCGACTGTTTGCCTCCGAAAAGATTCCGGATTGCATGTGGACTTGCTGGAGGTCAGCATCCCAGAAACTGCCATTTGTATTCCAGCAGGTGCCTTTGCGGATTGTGGATCATTGGTGAAGGTCACCATCCCCAATTCGGTGCTTAAAATCAAAGAATCTGCCTTTGCACGCTGTGCGTCCTTGACGGTCGTTATCATGGCTGACTCGGTGATTGAAATTGGACCATCCGCCTTCGAAGGCTGCAGCTCCTTGACCAATCTAAGCATTCCTGCCTCCGTGAAAGAGATTGGGGACTTGGCCTTCGCAGGCTGCATCTCATTGACAAAGCTCACCATTCCTGAAAAGTCCGTGTTTGAGATTGGCAAATTTGCCTTCGCAGGCTGCAGCTTGTTGACGGACCTTGCCATTCCTGTGTGTGTGATTGGAAAGTCTGCGTTCAAAGCCTGCAGCTCATTGACAGACCTGGTCATTCCCAACTCTGTGGAAGTGATTGAAGAGTTTGCCTTTGCGGGCTGCAGCTCGTTGACCAACTTGATCATTCCTGACTCCATGGAGGAAATCGGTGCCTGCGCCTTTGTCGACTGCGTTTCTTTGACAAGTTTGAGGATTCCAGAGTCTCTGACACACATCTTCCCCAGTGCTTTCAGAGGCTGCAGCTCTTTGGCGAGCTTGAACTTTCCAAGCTGTCCAAACTCTCACGTTCGGGTGGGGAGTCAGGCCTTCCAAAGCTGCAGCTCCTTGACAAGCTTGACCCTTGAGTCAGCAGTTCTAGTGGGAGACTCTGTTTTTGAAGACTGCAGTGCTCTAACCAGCGTCACCATCTCTGGCGCTACAAGCACCATTCCAGATCACACCTTTGCACGCTGCAGCTCTCTGAGAGACTTGAGGATACCAGGAGGTGTGACTCGGATTGGACATTTTGCTTTCATTCAATGCACTTCATTGGGAAGTGATGAGATGACTTTCACCATTCCCGACTCTGTGATTGAGATTGGAATGGGTGCCTTCGGAGGCTGTGTGTCCTTGAAAGATGTAAGGATACCGGACTCTGTGAAAAGCATCGGTTCACATGCCTTTGAAGACTGCAGCTCTTTGGCGAGCGTGATCATCTCGAAGTCTATGACCGCGATTCCTGAAAGAGCATTCTTCAACTGCCGTAGTCTGACCAAGCTGACTATTCCTGACTCTGTCAAGACCATTGACGGCTGTGCCTTCACCCATTGCCCTGCTTGGACCCGTCTCAATGACACCGAAAGTGTGGTGATTGATTCGCCCTGAGCTTCACCGATCGTCAGCCCACCGAAAGGACACCCATCAGACCTCGATCTCTCCGCTCTCGGCGACGGAAGGACCGGCGAGGACGCACCCGGGAGCCGACACGACGGCAGCACCCGGCGGCACGGAACTCGCCTGGGCCGCTCACGTGGACTGGGTCCAGATTGGCGACTGCGCAGGCTCGAAACCACCATCTCCACCGCTCCAAGTCTGGAAAACGGGTTTGGGTTGGGAATGCAGTGGTTTGGAGTGGTTTTTGGGAAGACACAGGAAGTTTATGCGGCAGTGGTAAATTCAATTCCAGGGTGTGAGCCAAACTATAATGAAGTCTTGACGATGGTTTGCCACATGAAGGTTCCAAGTTCCAAGATCTTCAAAGTACCCACCCGCAGAACCGTGGTTTGGCTCCATCATGCTCCATCCATTTGGCATCATCGCTGGGTGGTTTGAAGCGCCAGCTGAATCAACAGGTTTCCTCAGATTGATCGGATTGGGATCCAACAAAGTCGGGTACGCTGGAGGATGTGTTTTTCATGAAGGTCAAGCGTGATCGGGCACAAACCTTTGTTTTTAGGAAGAGACCAAGTGATCACTTATGTGAATTTCATGTTGATCACATTGAATCTGCTTAGTGCCCAGTTCCTGAGATTCTTTCTGAGGCTCTGGCTTCCTGACTTTAAACAAATTCACATCTCCCACCCCAAAAGAAACGTTGGAAGGGTGCTCACGCAGTGGATGCCTTTGTTGGGAGGGGTACCAATAATACTACCTGGCCCCCCAAGAAGTGGTTAATGGACACCCCTTAAGCTCTAAAGGGCTATTGATAGAAAGCAGCTTTTCGGGACTTTTCCTTTTGAACCCTCTGGCCACTGAGGTCACTTTGCCTGCCGCAACTTGCATCCACATGAAGTGACTGCCGCGCAGCCGCTTGGAGAGATCACAGAGGGGAGTGAGTTCAATGGATGACGTGTCCACCGAGTGAACAGATTATGAAGGTCCCAAAGGCAGGCATGTTGTCGATGTTGTGGGCAGATACCTGCTTTACGGGCCTGCTTTACAGGTTATTCTTGCTGCCTCACATACTGCCAATTTGTTTGCAACCTCTCGTCCACCTTCGGATGTGAGGATTGGGGAGTAGATATGCACGAAAACGACTCAGTTGTGTGTTCAGAGCTTGAAACTCACCAAATCATGCAACATCTATAGACTCGAAAGAAACATCTCATTTTCACATGTGTTTCATTATGTTTCACGTATATCTTCACCATGGCTCACTTGCAGTAGGCCCTGACTCCTAGAATCTCGGCAGTATGTAACATTATGTAACATACCGGGACCGTTTTTTCTTGAGATACCGGCGGTATTGACTGACTCGGTTTTTTCTATCGAGTCGTTTCTATTTTTTGCAGACGGACCAACGACAAGCTTGTTGTGCAATTCCGGGCGGCTGAACGAACAGAAGCTTCTTGAAGCTCCTGGTTGGATTCAGCTGTTAGGAGCCAACAGAATGGGGGCCTTGGAGCAAGCAGGAGCAAGCAGTAGGCCAGTACCTACGAAATGGTGCAAACATTGAAATGTCCTGCGTGTGGGATGCCTGGGATGACCACGCCCCTAGTGGCATCCTTGCTCCTAGTAGCGATGCCAGGAGCCCCTAGTAGCGTCCTTGCTCCTAGTAGCGATGCCAGTAGCGTTCTTGCTCCTAGTAGTAAGGCCAGGAGCCCCTAGTAGCGATGTACATTTTATAGTATTTTATACCTCAAAGCGAGATCTTGTGAGCCCAGGTCAGCCGTTGGCCATGTTTGCGCCGCCGCGTTCCTGTTTGACGTCAATGTCCACAGGAAGAGAACTTCTCAGCAGACATCAGAGCCACCTGCTTTGATCGAAACGGTGTTGCTCCAAAGAGTATGATCGAAAAAGTGAGTGATGTGCACCGTGACCCATAAGAAGATTAAGAAGGATGCCCTGAAACACCACCAGAGAGTGAGGCGAAACACCATACACTGAAAAAGACGTGTAAAATACACGCGATAGGAGGAGGCCCTGTCACATCGTGCTTTCCACATCTTTCCGCTGTCACGTCGCCTGAGAAACGGACGGCGATTCGTGATGAAACGCCCCCCTGTTTGTCCGTCGCCGTTCTGCATTCAGCCATAGTGCTGAAATTCAGACAAGACACAAAACCGGGAAAGATGCTTTGAACCTTGATGTCTTGTTGGTGTGATTTTTGTCTTGATCATGTTTCCAACCATATAATGCATCAAAATTTGCTCACCACTGACAACAAAAGCAATTGGAGCAGTGACAAAAGACCACCAGCCGGTCACAGCGTTGAGAGTCGCAGTGGAGGCCATCCTTCTCAGATGTGTTGCCTTTTCGTTGAGATCAGGTAACCTTACAGCACACAGACCCCACGGACCAATCTGAACACATTGGATGTCGGCATCCATGTCCTTTGCGGCCAAAGTGCGCATTCATGGACGCAGGCGCATTCCGCGCTTGAGCGCGCGGTTGCGCCGCGGCGCAGCGGGTTGAGGCGGATGCCCCACCAGACAAAGCCCAGAGGGTTTGATCGATCGACGAGACCAATCGACGAGAGATCCGATGCCGGCGATGCGAATTCAGGTGATGAAGCTGAGCAAAGCACAGGAAGTTGCGTGCGGGTGTGCGTGCGCTTCAGGCTGCGGTTTGGTGAAGGAAACACAGACCAAAAGACTGGGTGAAATAGGTTGAAATTGGACGATTTGGTTCATGATTGTTCATGATTGTTCATTGTTCATGATTGTTCTATATGCCTGTATGCTAGCCTGCAGTCACTTGAGATATCTTACATTACAACTTGTTCTGAGGGAGGTCTATGCTGATTGTTTAGCCGGGTCTCAGAAAGAAAAGGATCTTGATCTTGTTTTGGATTTCTGGCAGGATGATGTATGATGTCTTGTCACGATACAAGTTGATATGTTTGATGGGTTGGTAGTTGTAGCTTGAATCCCGGCGAAGCAAGTAGACTTGTAGCATGAAGGCCTGTGCTCCAGTACAACATGTGTGGTTCCTTGGTCAGCCACCCGTTCAAAGTGAACACCAAATGCCAAGAGATCCAAAGAGTCATTAAGGCAGACTTCTTGTTGCCGAAAAAGCAAACAAGCCTTGGCCAGGCCACTGCTACCAGAGGATCGGGATGGGAGTCACCTGTATGCCATAAACATCGATAAAACACATTTCCATGTGAAGGGACTGTTGATTATCCTCCCCAAGCATGCCTGCCTGCATTCTTGTGCATGCCTGGATCTGGAACTGGAAGATGAACTTGAACCCCCTTGGATCTGGAACTGTTCCAACCACCGGCCACTGAAAGGGACACACGGCACATGGAAGGCAAGTGTCAGACACATTGATGCGAAACGCCGGGCGGTTCCTCCCACCAACGTATATTTCTACACTGTTTCATTTGACAGGACATCACTCATTCATTCCCCACAACTCCACTTGCACCACCACCAAAGACTACAGTTACAAAGACTTCTCCCGAGTCTAGAATCATAGACCCCTGGAGACAGGGCGCACACAGTACTGTACAACCTCTACTTGGGTTGGAGAACATGCAACATGTGAAAGAATAAATACAGTGCTTTCACAGTAGATGGCACAAGTTACTCCAAGTTCAGTAGTGGTTTACATGGACTCCCAACCACATCACCACATCTGTTTAGGGTAGTTGTGCCATCTACATCTACTCTGAAACTGCACAGGTCTAACTTGATGTAACTTATGTATACAAGCTACCATTCAGGCCTCGGTTCCAGTCGCCCAGTGAGAGGAAAGTGGACCCAGCGGGCGCATCACTTGGGACGAGGCAGGCGCCCGTCACTGCGACGACTCGCACGGTCAAGGGGGATACGACTGTCAATCTCATTGCTTGGGTGTTGGATCTACTTTCCCGCAACTAACGGACTATAATGGAATTGTGTGTGCCATTCTGAGCCTGACACCGCCCCAAACAAATGGAGTTCGTATGTACTTCCTTCCAACCAATCTGGGGGTGGGATCCGGAGATGTTTGGAGCCTTCGTCATGCCGAGAGACAATCCCATGTCACAAATGTGTGGATCTTCATCTCACGTCGTGATGCTGCGAACGTGGTGCGTCAAGTTGAGCAGAGAAGAATTCTTTAGCTGCTCGATGCGAGAAGTTGTTCGGAAGGTGGCTAATGTTTGCTTTGCCGACAAATAGCCGAACTGGTGAAACACGTGGCTTTTCTGCAGCTATCAGGAGAATGCGCCAAAAAGAGTCTATACTACAGGAGGTGCCGGAACCTGTGAACTTCAAGTTCCCATTGAAGCTGTGCAAGCTTGTGTCGCTGTCGGTATCAAGTATCAGCTTGCAGAAGTCATTGGTGACTTGGATTCTGCTCAGTCTCATCTTGTAGACAAACAATGAGATTAATCACACCTTTATTGTAGGATCATTCTGTGATTGTCACAGATTCTTTTTGCCTGCAGCTTTGTACAACAATTGGTGCACAGTAAAGTTTTACACTTGATCCTCGCAATGATGCGTCCAAAGCAACTCGTGAGGGAGCTCAACATGTCCCTGTTTTAGGAAGAAGTGATGCTGGGAAGACCTTTGAATTCGAGCTGGACTCAGCAACAAACAGCTCACATGCGCAGTCAAGCAATCGTTCCCTCCCAGAATCAGCTGCCTGAAGTTGATTCTCAAAGCCGACATGTGAGCTCCTAGCACCGCTGAAGGGCCATCCTCAGCTTCTTCCATGTTTCTTCTGTTTGCAGCGAGCGCTCAAGTACACCATTGCGTGGCCGCAGACTGTTTGTAATGGTAGTACACACATGCGTGAGCAGCCAGTGCTTTGTCAGAATTTGAGGATCGGGTTTTCCCACCACAGACATCGCAGGAGGAGGCATTTCTGAGTGTGGGTGGAACATGGTGGAACAAGACAGGCTGTGTATGACCATTGTACTAGGAACACTTGTGGCTGTTCATTGTTTGCCTCTCGTGAGCTTCAGCCTACTGCTTGTTACATACATCCATCGGTCTCTAAATACAGCTTGCAGCGCTTTTTTGGCGTGTGCTTTACATGGGAGCTTGACTTCTCCTCTTTGTGTGAGTGTCACGCACAGCTTCCAAAAGGAACTTGTGCACTGAACACTCTTCGAGTTGGTACTGTGGAGCCCACAGGACAAACTGTGGCTAGGACTCTTGTTGAATAGGCAGGGTTTGGTAGAACAAACGACCCACATAGGCGTTTCATGTGTCTTCTACCAAGGGAGTCTGAACCATTTCGGAGAGGATGTTTGATCCTGTTTTGCTTCAAGGTGTTCCAGAATGCTGGTGTAGACTCCTTCCTGGATTCCGTCCTGGAGGGCTATCACGCTACAGTCTTTGCTTATGGCCGGGATCGCAGTGTGGGGGAAAAAGTGAAGCAAGAAGGTTTGGATGCTTGCGATATCTTGCGATCAAAGATTATGTTGTAAATCCTTGTGACGCATTGGATTCGACCTCCCAAAACTGGACTTGACCAGCGTGGTGCTCAGGGCAGACAGGCAGCGGAAAGACGCATACCATGGAAGGGTGCACTCCTCAGGTTTCGGGTGAAACACGTGCGACCCGTCGTTATGTTGGGCCATCGACCGGAAAGTGGGAAGTACGTAGGATGCAGGATGACCAGACGAACAAAGAGGGAACGTGAAGAGATTCCTTCTTGCTACGGCTGCTACGGGTAGGAGATATATAAGAGAGATCAAGAATACGTACAATAAAGAAACGCTCCGAGCACTACCAGCAGACACCTCCTCAGTCTGAAATCACCGTCAGTCGGAGAGTGAGATCACGCGTGCCGCGCTCGCTGTGTTGTTCTCCACGGATGTTCCAAGGTTTGTATACCAAGCTGGGACTCAAAGCAAGGCTCCACAGGCTTGCACATCAGCTGTGAATTACTGTATATAATATACCCGAAGCATACCCCCGAAGCATACCCTGAAGCATACCCTCTGGAAATGCTACTACTTTAGTCTTTACACTGCGCGAAGCATACCCCCGAAGCATACCTCCGAAGCATACCCCATAGTCAAACATCCCGGCCCGGGAACCTTAAAAAAATACAAACCCATATAGATTCTGCTGTCGTTTGGACAGTCTGGGGACATTGGTTGACCTCTCTTTTCCACACCTACGTGTCAATACATTATTGTGATCTTTTGAGGGGTTCGTCCCGTGCTTTTTGTTTCTATTTTGGAAGGGATTTGTTTGCTGCTTGAAATCACGAAAGGTAGCCCTTTAGGGGATACCTTGAGTTTGTCTTGCGAAGCAAGTGTTGGGACGTCCGGGTCTAATAATTGATCGCTCAATTCAGACCCCCCCCCACCCCCCCACCCCCT